CACCGTCCCTCTGCAGCTCGTCTTGCCGTGCAGAAGGGACCGACCGACCGACCGACCGACCATCCATCCATCCATCCATCCATCCATCCATCCATCCCTGACATTTCAGCAGGCACCCCCCGCCACCAGCCCCTGCTCCTTTGGGCACCACAGACACAGGACCATTGTGACAATGCTCCAAGCTCCTACCAGTGTGTTTTTCCCATCCATGGGGAAACGTGTGAAAACACCTCATTTCATGCCTTTTGACTGTGTGAGCCAGCAGAGGAAATTATTCCATGCTCAGAAATTTTGCTGTTTGCTGCTGTTTGTGGTGCTCGTGCTGAGGTCTTGGTAAGAGGCACATCCAAGCAAACAGGATTTTACCTCGAGACAGGCAAATTATTGAAAATCATGTGATTGAAATGCCAGTAGAATTTTACTTTCTGATTTTGCATCCCCATATGTTTTAACAGAATTATTTTTGTGGTGAGCTATTTTATTATCTGATTTTATTCACCTAATACATTCAATGTGATCAGCAACTACAAGGAAACATGAACTGTACAAATATTTTGGTTTTATGCCCTGACTTTTAAAGGATGTTAAATGATAACATAAGGGTATAAATGGAATGAAAAACTGCAACATATCTATGCCTTGAAACTCCATGCTGTGGTTTCCACAGCAACCATAACCATGGCCACTTCTCATGGATTTTACATCCGAGTCTGACACTGTTCCAAGTGCTCACCACACATAAGGAAAAACCAAGCAAAAGCTTTTTCTCCCCCTGCCATAAACATCTTACCTGCTAAGTCACCACCACTACAAGGTGTTCGTGGCACTCCTAGGTGAGGTGAACTCCCAACAGCTGACAATGCCCTGAATGTGGCTTCCGTGCAGAGACACTTGCAGGGCTCATAGCGTTGGTATTGACACCCTTCTGTTTTCTGTTAGTGCTGGAACAAGAGCCTGCTGTTTGTACCAAAGGTTAAAGCATTCTTAGAAGGCTAAAAGAGAACAGTTAAGGGTCTTTCAAATTCCTTTGTTTTGAATACCAAACTGTTTCAACTTCAGAAGCACCGAGTGGTCAGGAGACTGCTCCTCCATGGTTTTGCTCATTTTATCCAGCCCCTTTGCTTGCAGGCAGTACCTGGCAGTGCACTACAAAGAGACTGGCAGAAACAGGAACATGAAAACCGTCATTATCCAAGTTTACTGGTTTGTCTTTTAAAGGCAAAAATTTTTAAAATTTTAAAGAGTAAACCTTTTCTTTCTCTTAAGTTTGCCAGAAGTAAGGAGCAGACACAGAGACAGAAATTCCAACATCCCCCTCGTTCTTGGTTTTCTTTAAGCATTTACTGCTGTTGCAATTCAGGACTTTGATTGGTCTTGGGTATGAAAAAGTTGAACTTCTAACAAATTATTACTTTCTCTAGGTTGAGCTTTATCCAAAGCCATGTCCCTTCCTGCTGCATAACAGTTTATTCATTGAAGTGATAGAATAATTGTCAGTGGTGAAATCAATGAAATAATTCACTGCTACTGGAGGGGAAAAACTCCAGTCAAAGGTGGAATTTTCAAAACTCCACTCCATCAGAATGTCAAATGAGGGGTTTAATTGGCAGCACCAGTGATCTGTAATAACATGAGCCTGTCTTTACTGGAAAGCTCCAGGACTGTTCTATGAAAACTTACAGAAATGAGATAGTACGGACAGTTACAAGCCTACATATTTAAATGTTAATCCACAGTAGTACCAGCTTTCCAAAATGGTATTTATTCCTAAACATCTGCAGTGTAAATCAGAAACCAAAATGTTACATTAGTATGACCCTCCCACCCCCATCCCAGATGGCAGAAATACCATCAACTACTGAAATTCTCTAAATATTTAACACTTTAGGTTACTAAGAAAAGATGTGGTCTTGGATAGCACAGCAAGAAACACCCAACCAGCCCCTCCCTGAAATACAGAGAGTGACACTGGCTCAAGGGGCCTCTGCCCACACCCAGGGGTACCTGAGCCCTCTGGGGACAGTGACCACTGTGACTGAGCAGGTTCCAGCCCAGGGGGCCGGGCACACACTGCTGCTCCAGGGCTGCACAGGGAGAAAGCTCTCTGGGCTGGCTGCAGGCCTAATTAAATTGCAACCCACAACACGGTCTGTGACACAGCAGCTGTGGGAAATACTGATTAAAAGCACCTACACATTATCCCAACGGGCCCATGTATAGCTGAGCTTTTAACTGAATTGGAGACAGCTCTTATTTCAATTCCAGATATGCCACAGTCTTTCCATATGACTGGGAGGACTACTGAACCCTGCACTTCACTTCTGCAACACAAACGTGTGCATATTAATTCCATATTTTTATAAATAATCTCATTTATCTTGACACAAACTTCTGTAATAAAAAAAAGAAGGGATACAGTATCTTGCTATATTTGGTCTTGAAGCCTCAGTGTAATGCAAGACACAAAGCTAAATCTTGCCCAAATCTGTACTATACATCTTTAAATCCCCAAAGATTGGACCAGGTGCTGTAGCTTGAACAGAAGTAGTGTGCAAAACACTTAGCCCAGCAGGACTAGCTGTTCCTCCAGCCTACCTCTCTCTACTTCTCAATATGGTCAAGGACCTCAGGTCCTGTAAAGAGGTCAAATAAACTGAAGTGTTTCAGAAATCCTAAGTACAGGGAAGGTTGGCATAAGAAAAAGTGTATCTGAATTTGTTCCTGCTCAGTGTTCATTGTTTTGTCTTATGTATATATCTTTAAATGCTTTTATTTAATAAAGTAAAACCCCACAACCCAAACTCTTAATACATTTTTCTCTGCCAGATCCAGCAACCAGAAGATGTTGTCAGTGCTGCCTGACAGAGGTTCCAGAGATGCAAACCTTCAGCCATGAGCCCATTACAATCAACCCCTAACACAGCAATTGGACCACACGCTCCAGGACACAGTCATGCCACGAAATAAAAACACTTATTGGTTGCTGTTCACGTGTCTCAAAACACTGAGACCTGCTGCTGCCTCCTTGCCACACACTGACATCTGATTATTTTTAAAACTTGCCCCTTAAAGTGAAAAAAACCAGGTGTGGTTCTGCAGAGTCCCATCAGCAGTGGTGCCTGCAAACCTACAGATTCCCAAGAAATATGAACAGGTAAAAAGCCTGTGCTGGGGAAGCAGTTCATCTTTGGTTTGGAGAGCTGAAGAAAGAATTTTCCTTCCCAGGCAGCTCCCAGAGGCTTGAACACCAGGCGTGCAGGGTGCTAAATATTCTCACAACATGGTAGTTTTACAAGGCATTTGGGAAGGAAGCTGTTAAAAATATTTTTCTGATTATAATAAGTGATTTTTTTTAATACCTCAAATAAAGATTTACTGAAAGAACCTTTTGAGAACACTTTAAGAAAAATACCAAAGTACAAACTTTAAATATCCAAAGTATGATACTGGTGCACTTTTTAGAAACACTTACATACTTAACAGGTGAAGTAGGAAGAGAGTATTTCAGAAAACATTTAATATGAAACCTTTTGGAACTTCCATCGAATACAGATTTACATAATTTATCAGAACACTTTTTCAGTTCAGACAACAAAGTGCACTGCCAGGTGAAAAAAATACATTTGGAGGAGTGCTTAAAATGTAAGGAGTGAAAGGATAGGTGACCATTCACCTGAGAAAGTACAACGACTGCCCTGAAATGTCTTATTGCTATTACAAAATGGAGTTTTCATGGAAAAAACCCATACTGAGCAGCACAGGCATGGGCAGAGCACTGAAAGCCAACTGAACTCCGGTAGCACCTGGAGTTCTCAAGCCATGGCATGATACAGAATATACAGAGAATAAAATGCAAATTCAGGAATATTTACTACATTTAACAACTATGATTACCCTTTAAACTAGCATAATCAATATCAATGCTTAGGGGGGAAAGAGAGGGGAAGTCTGCTGCCTTCACAGACTACGGATCACAAGAGCTAACTTGCAAAATATTAAGGACTTTGCATTTTCACCTCGGGTCAAATCTGAACTGTGTACTATGAGTAACTATTAGCTCACTGCAAATTTAAAATGCAAATTTAGGCTCCAGTTTAAAGCACATGTTAAGTACATGCGTAAGTGCTTCACTGAAATATAACCACAAAACATTAATACAAAAAGTCAAGTAGATAATGCAGGGTATTATCTACACAAGTCCTCGATGAAATAAACTGAGTGTCGGTAGGAAACAACGTGTGAAGAAATCTCTTCATGCTAGTTTACAAAATCAAATCTGTTCCACCGCTGTGATGGTTAAAAAGTGGAGGCTACCCAGAGCAGCTTCACGTCCTACCGAAAGCTAGCCGGCCATCAGAGCTCATCGGGGCAGGTGCCACACTGCTCGGGGACAGGGACAGGGGACAGGGGCTCCCTGGGCAGCACGGCCGGACACAGAGCTGGCACAGAGCCATCCGCAGCAGCACAGCCGGAGCCAAGGGGAAGCACGCTGGAGGAGAGCTGCAAGGAAAACCTCAACTGCTGCTGCCTATGGCTGTAGTGTAGCAAGCTGGACCTTGGACAGAGGAGATCAGGAGCCACTCTGATTCCCACTTTTGGGTTTCAATGCTGAGGTGCCCGGAAGGTGAGGGACAGCAGTGCCCAGTGTGCAGCCAGGCCTCGGACCTGGCAGAGAATGGCCACGATTTGGGAGTCCCTTTGTGCTTTGTATCAGCCTGACCTAGTCTAACGTGGCAAACTCGCTCTGAAAGAAAACCACTACTCAGCAATTAGCACCTCCTTTTACACTGCCTCGTTCCCTAGAGGAACAACAGGGAAATGTTCTTAGCTGCAATCAATACTCATAAGCCAAAAGGACAAAGGTACAGTTTTAGTAGTTTAGCAGAAGCAGAAGAATGGAAGCGTTTACCCAAATATTAATGCACAAATTAACTACATTATTAAAATTTGATTCAGACTTAAATAATAAATAGGTGGGCAAAATATAATGCAAGACTTACTCAGTAGAAGTGAATTTTTAATTATCTCATGAGATCTACTTAGAAAACAGGACTAATAATGTTAACAACCATAAATCCAAACCCTTCACACACTTTTTTCGTAACACAGCAGTGAACTGTAAACCTGCGTTTACTGGTTAATGCTTCAGTCATTTTAAATATTAACTCAAGTGTTTCCTCCTTGGCCATTTCAATTTTTAGCACCAAAATTAGCCCAAAAAGAGGTACTGGTACAGCTCGATGTTGTAAATGAATTGTTTACATATAATACTTTATATATTATACACACATACTGTACATTCACACATCCACACAAACAGGAGGCATATTTAAATGAATATATTCTGTGTTTCAATTTGTTGTCAAAGACTTAGGAGCAATGGAAATAAAGCAGAAGGGGTAATATTTTACATAGTAGGCAACTTTAATGCTGTAGTGCACTTATAAAAAAGTCCAACTCTCCCTCCCAGCTCAGCAGCTTTTTTTTAATATCACTATTCAGAAGGATGCAGAAGTTATTGCCTAAATGTTATTCTATACATTTCCATCGGAATTCTCAAAAACACTTTAAATTGCTAACTAATTTACAACTTAACTATTTTTTCTTGTTACAGCTTTAACTCATTGGCAATTTTGGAAGCAATGTTTTTGAAAGCTATGGATGTTCCCGATATCCGCTTAAAGCGAACTCCGTTCAGGGACAGTCTTGGCAGTTTACACACCTCCATCTCCCACTGTACAAGGTTTTCCGCGTGCCCATCTCCATGGACACAGAAAAGCAAGAAACGCTCCCTCTGTTCATAGTCACAATTATTGGCATCCAGGACCTTTCGGATTTCCCTCATCATGTCATTGGGATCCATGGAGCTGGTGGTTTTCATGCTCCAGGTAAAACGCAGCGACCGAGGCTTGGCTTCCTTGTTCTCGTCCTTCTGATCCACAGCTACATTGCGGCTGAAAGACAGGAATTCCGGAGTGAGCAGGGCCAGCCGCCCTCCCCAGGGGCCAGCTTAGCGAAGCCACCACTGAACACACACCGCCCGGATTAGAGCAGCCCTGGAGGCTCCAGCTGTGGCCAAGCCCCGCTCCCCCAGCTGCTGTACACACACACAGTCGGGGGAAAGCTGTAGCTGCTGGGGCTGGGACAAAGGAATGGCACGAGGTGGGACACGACTGGCACTCACTGGATTCAGGAGCACGGGGGCAGTGACCTTCTGGAGGCAGAACTACGTGCAGCACCTACAACTTGATTTTAAGGTAGGTTCTGCTCAAAACTCTACTCTCGGGCCATGGGGGCAGCTGAAACACCAGCTCTGTGCTAGAAGTTTCTGGAACACTGAAATAACAGCTCCCTGTGGCAGGAGGTGCTCAGCCCAGGCCCTGGGAGGTGCCCACTAACACAGAATGGGGTGAGCCCGTGCACAAAGGTGCTGGGAGTTCCTCTGCATCTCCTCCAGGGCAGCAGCCAGGAGACAGAGCCCTGGGAGCTCCTGGAGCCCCACAGCAGCTGGCTGCCAGCAGAAGGAAGGACAGCAGGACCAGAGTCACCCACCTGCTGCCCAGGAGCCCCTGGAGCTGGGTTGGCTCAGTTACACCCTGGCCTTCCCGCTGGGGCATGTTTGGGATGATGCTAGGGACACACCTGCTGCACACCCTGGGGGCTGCCTCAGAGAGGAGATGCTTCCTCCTGAGTTGGTCAGTAACTCATTAAATACCAACCACTGACTGAGGCAGTGATGAAATCTTCTGCAGCTACAAGCTCTGCAGTTAAGTGCCTCTGAGGGGGATGTGCATAAAGAGAGCTGGAAATCACTATCAGACACCTCCTCAACACAGTTGGTAAAGATGGTGAGAGGGTACCATTATTGTCACACTTTTAAGAGATGAAGCACAAAATACTGAGGGTGTGTTACCCAAATCTGTAACATTTTTTTTTTTTAATAAAAAAGCTTTTCTTTTGGTATGGGTAAGTGAAGTTAAACAGGACAAATGAAAGAAAGCTACCTACGTCAGGGAAGGTATAGGGTGGATATTAGGAAAAAACTTTTCACCAAAAGAATAATAAAGTACTGGAATGCTCTTCCCAGAGAGATGGTAGAATCACCATATATGGATGTGATTAAAAAAAGGCTGGACATGGCACTTGGTGCTGTAGTCTAGATTCTGAGTTGAGGTGTTAGGACATAGGTTGGACTCGATGATCTTAGAGGTCTCTTCCAATTATTCTGTGATTCTGTGAAATGTTCCAGAAATTTCTAGTTTGCAATCATTCTCCTACTTGAACTAAAATCAGTAGTCATGCTGCTAAAGAATAAGGAACTACATTTGGACCTCCAGGGACAAAATACAGATTTGCTTTGTGACTATTTGTACACTGCCAGTCACCTCTTCAAATGTAATTAAATATATTGACTGTTATACTTTACTATTAAGTAACCTAACCCTCCCCCAACCGTGCAATTTAGGTCTCATGTTGAGCCTCCACATTAAGCCAAGCTGCTCTTTGAAATAGATAGCAATGGTTACACCACATTTTATTTCTACTACCATTAAGCAGGCAAATATGAAAAAGTTAAATAAAAAGTGATAGCAAGGCCGCAACTAAAGAAATATATTTCTCAAATATAACCTATTTCATAATTCTTCTATTTAAAGATTTCTTGTGACTGTGAGAGTCATAAGACTATGCAATGTGATATGCCAGATGTTACAAAATTCATCACACAAATTAAAGAGTATTCTGTTTTAAGGTTTTAATTTAATAAGACTGTGAAGGGCCAGGGAAAACCCCAACTCTTATCCAATGCTCATTTTATTTTTGGAGGCTTTTCCCACTTGAAAACAGTTGGCAAACCCAGCAGTTTGATAATTTCTAATATTTTTTTCATATGCTGATTTTGCAAGAAGAGTATAACATGAAAAATATTTAACTGCCTGTGATTTTGGAGATGAGAAATATCTTATCACCTTCCAGTGGTTATTCCACACATTTGCAGCCTCACTAGAGACCACTCATCTACACATCTACACAACAACAGCAAATTACAATGACTAAAATGCAAAAAAAAAGAAAAACCACACAAGGAAAAAGGCAACAGGAAAGATGAAAGTTTAGAACCAAGTCAGTCAGTGCTTTAATAGCTGTTTTGCAGACAGAAATGCTTCTTGTTTAGTTCCAATGACTTACATGAAAAAAAAAAAGCTGCTGCCTGAAGCCACTATGCCACATAATCAAGGGAAGAAAGGTTCAAACTCACCTAAGTAATGTTTTAAACAAAAATTTTACCCTCACCTTGAGCCCTCAAATCTCCCGTTCCTCTCATATTCAGTCGGGAGCCTCAATGAAAAGAATGCAGAAGCAAAAGGAAGTGGGAAAGAGAAGACAAATCTTACACTACAATATATAATATCTGAGTAGCTGCTAAAAGATACTGCAATCATTCCAAAGGTGTGTTAAAATACAAAACAACAAAGATGTAAAGAACTTGGTAGGTTAGGACAAACTCAGAAAGTAACATATTGTCAAACCAAATGGAAGTGTATAAACTACAGTTTTTAAACTGACCATAACTAATTTTAACAGTATATGTTTATGCATTAAATCTGCAGAACTCATGGAATAAATCTGAAGTTATAAAAGCAGAAAATGTGAAACTAAAGTTACAAAGCATATTGAAGTGACTGTATTATTTACTAAGTACCTCTTAAAAGAGGAATAACTCCCAAGTATTTTTAGGCTAATGTTATTTAAAAGATTTTATCTGGAATAAAGTATATATTTGAAAAACTCCCCATAATTATTTACAGACAAGTCTCATCACCTTGTGTATTTGCATGCTCATGAGATCTGTGTGTTCAAAGAATACCAAAGCACCTTAATGCAAAAGAAGAAGATGCACATACATTTTAACAGAGCTTGAAGAGCCAAATCCAAGATTTCTCAAGCTGTGGTAACTCTAGCCCAGTAATTCCACACTGATGCATCTTCCCCACCCAAGAACAAGCTTAAGCTTTCTGTCTTCTTGCAGTGCTTAAGGCTACACTGCTGGTCACTACCATCTATTGAAAGCCCAGAGTCAAGAAGAATTAAAGGGAAATTATCTTTCTCTGCCTTCCCATTGTTGAAGGAGGATGGTCCAACATATCAGCACTAACTCTGCTCAGGGGGATGCTGCCTGTACCTGCCTTCACCCAGACTAAGGCAGTGCATGGCTTCCCTGAGTAACACAAACACTGAGGCTGGGTGGCAGGTGTCTAGGGACAGGAATGTAAGACAGTACCCTTATTTTTTGACGCAGAGTGATATTTATATCAGGGTGTGTGGGGAGTTACAAGGTGTGATTTCCTCCCTTCCTTCCTTTGAGAGCTCTGGTGAGGGATCAGCAAGGTGACTCTGGCAGTCTGTGTCACCGGGGAGCAGGAGCTGTGAGGGGCAGGTGGCAGCACTGGCTGCATGTGCCACAGAACAGCCCAAATTCAACTCAGGGGCTACTGCAAAGCAACTGCACTTTACAGGGTGCAAAATTGCTCAGCTGAGAGCTGCTGGTCATGGCAGCACCCGAGCAGGACCCTGCTCTCTGAGGTACCACACAGCTCGTGGTACAACAGGGACAATCTCACTGGCAAATGAACAGCTGTAAGCAAAAAAGATACAGAAAAAATGAGAAGACAATTGTAAGTCCCAGTGCAAAGAGGGCAGTTATTGAATGTATTTTCATGAGGTCTCGTGCTGCTAATCTATGGTGGATATAAGAGAAGGTGGAAAAAGATTTTTCATGCCTGTATATACCAAGAGCATGAAGTCATCCTGTATGAGAGCTCTACAGGACCAAAAAAGGGGTAGGTGGAACCACCACATGTACCATCTGAACAGATTCTCCCCTTTCAGATGATTATTTTACTAAAGCAACCAACAAGTTAGAAAACTCTCCTCAACTGAAGAATTAAGAGTACTTAAACTTCAGAGAGCCTTCTGTGTCCCTAGGAAGTGGAAGATGTCAGCTTTAAGAGCTGCAAACATTTACAGATTTTTGTTGGGTTTTTGGTGTTTTGTTTTGAAGCTTGCCAAAGGTTGCAGAAAATGGGAGCACAACCCGTTTCCCCAACAATGAACAGCCTTACTGTTGTTGGAATCTGTCCAGAAAAGTCTGTTAGGAAAAATCTCTAGTGATGTTCTGACACACTTTTCAGTTTGAAATTAAGCCAAAGTGTTCGGTGTGGAAACCACTGTACTCTAAATCTAAGAAAGGTCATTATTTAGAATATACCTGCCACTTTGAAAGAATAAACATTCTCATGGAAACCTCTCAGAAAACCCTCACTTTGCTCAGTTTTTCCATGCATCAATGTTCCATTCAGCGAGCAGGAGGAGCTGCATAAAGTGACACAGAACCTCAAATGTGAGCCATCATGCCAAGCTTAGGAGAGCTGTGCCAGTCTCTCAAGGTGCTCCTTCCTTCATGACAGACATGGTTATGGTCCAGCTCTACAGCCCAGCACTGCTGCCCTGGGACAGGCACCTTCTGTCCTGCCAGGATTGCTCTGGTTGGGGTTTGTGAGTCAGATGCAGCCCTGAGGCCTCCTCAATTGCTAATACAATCTTCACTTCTGTGCTAGTTTATGCTCTAAATTTTCTGCTTTTGCTTTTGTTTTACATAAACTGATTTTATGGACCAAGATGCTTCTTGGTCTTGAGAATGGAACAAATGCATAGACAAATTCTGTTCTCATTTGTCATGCCATGCCTATACATTATCTACCCCATGGTTTATGAAGGGCTTTCACAAATCTGATTGTTTCCACACATCTGTCCCAGATTATGCTGTGTTTCCTGTTCTTTACATCTTTGTATGCTTTTTTAAAAATCCAAGTAAACACAAAGAAAACTGTCTAAAAAGATACTGAAAATCAACAAAAAGTGAAAGATGATAAAACAAGATCAATTTATGGAAATGGAGAAATGATGCTGCAATAAAATCCAGAACATTGAGTCATTTTTGCTGTCAGAGAAAAAAAAAAGTTAAGACTTCCACAATATGCAGATTGGCAAAGACAGTGCATAGTACAAGATTTATATATATATATATACACTCACACATATATATATATTTGATACCTCTGTGTACTGAGCACAATATTAAAACTCAGCAGTTTAACAAGGAGTGACTGATCATCTACTTTCATTCAGCTCCCTAGAACTGGTGTTGTGGCACTATGTGCTACTGGGTTACTGTAGTTCTTTCAGAACTACAAGGACAGAGAGTTCAGGGAGGATTCATAGCAAATATAGCCAGGAGAAACTGCCAAAAGCCCCAGCATTTTCAATTTTTGTACCTACATACAGATCAGGTATGGAGGGACACCACACATTCTCAAAACAAAATTTAAAAAGCATACTGCTCCTGTGCAGGTTGTGTAACACTTAACGAATTTTTTATTCAAAAAGACACATTCATGGAAGCTGTAGCAGATATTTCCACCATGGTCTGAGACTCCTGGCCTCAAGTCAAAGGTAATTTTTAAAAAATTACTTAAAATTTACCCGAAGTCTCAAATTTAAACGGTAATCTTCTAGTAAAACTGTACCCATATTAGCATTTCCCATCTTTCTTCTGAACAAACTAAATGCATCCAGCTGTGGGGGTTTGCACAGGTCACAGTCCTTTGTTGTAGAAGTGGCCTGCACCCCACAGCTGATGATGCACACTGGGTTAAAGCCACTGTCACTGCTCAGTTCCAGCTCTGTGCTGAGTTGCATGGTTTCTTTCCTTAACTAAGTTGTTGCATTTTCTCAAGTCAGCTGTGACAATGCCAGCCAAGCCAACCAACACCAGTTCCAAACATGGACATGTTTGGAAGAGCACTGATTATTATCACCATGGCATGGAATTTACTCAGTTCATCAGGTAGGGTGCTTTTAGCCTTGCACTGTACATAATAAATCCACATTCAGGCAGCAATTTACATATGTCAGGACTCCCTAATCTAAGCATTTCCTTGAAATGGTCTAACTCCAAATTACAGTCACAAGCAGAGCCCTGCATTCTGAAGGTTAAAACAGATGCCTGGTTTCTGGTCCCATCTCCCTGGCTTTGATCAGCAGTAGGAAACTGGAAGTACCACCCTTTCAAAAGTTCAAAGATATGGTACAACTAAACAGGCTATTACAAAACTCTACTGGAAAATTTACCTGCACATCAAAACTGTATAAGCAATTTTCATGCATCATAATGGATTAATGAGAAATATAGCAGCTTAATTCATTCCCAAATTGCAAAACGAAATTCAATCCTTTGGCCTGAAACGTGAATGAGACATCTGAGCTTTTCCCTTTTGTTAATAAATTTGCATAAATGTTGTACTTTTTGTTTAGAACTGAAGAGCTCTATTTGCATTTCAGCTGCAACTCACTTCAACAAATGCACCCCATTTTAAAATAAATATACAGCTCTTGAATCTTCATTCCATCTTCCACACAAAACTGTTCAACTCACAGCTGTGCTCAGCTGCAGGCAATGCTTCAATCCTTTTTTTCTCTTCAATATCATAAAATAGAGATAACATAAATTTAGCAACACTTACCTTTATTTGCTTGCAACCTTATGTTTTGTTTATACTTTCATCATTGTTATCAAACACCTCATTCTTCAAACATAAGCATGCTAAGTGTATTAGTACAGAGAACAGAATTACTTTGGCACTACCAACACTATCAAAGAAAGAAGAATTCACAAGGCATGCTTAGCATCTTGTTACACAACACAGATGGTGCCACAGATTCTTAGGTATCATCATGAGTTAATGGATTTATTCTATGCTTTCCTCTGAAGAAAGAAAGTATTTAGTTCTCAGCAGGAAGTTTAGTTTTCAGAAAACCAAGGCTAGAAAAGCCAAATCTTTTGTTAATTGCAGGAGCCACTTTTTTTTTTAAATATAAATAAATCCTACCTTTTGATAAACCTGAATGACATGTTTCTAAAAGAAATTAAGCCAAAATAATAATTAACAAAAAAATTTGTACAAAATAAACTGAAAAAGTCATTTAGAGCAAAACATGCAAAAATATCTCATTTTAAATGCACAATTAAATTACACTTCAATACATTCTCAGATTAGGCAGATGATTTAGGGGCTGAAGAGTCAAACTTCTGGCACTCTTACTTTCAACTTTTTCTGGGAAATATGTAACCAGTATTTCTTATGAATTAAAATATGTACTGGTGTCAAAACACTTTAGAACTCAAAATCTGCAAGGTCAGGTAAAAATATGTTTGGATTTTCTTCATACTTTTACCATGGAAAGCAAACACTACCATAATTATATCCTGAGTATCTTCAGAGTTAGGTTTCTTCCTTTCTTCATAACATTAGGTCAGCCACGTTGTGCTAAAAACTGCCTTAAATATTTAGCTATTTTAGTGGCAGAAGCTGTAACAATTGGCTACACCAGAACATAAGTAGTTCATAACCCAAAGAATTCTGATTCCCCATAGAGAATGCTACAATAAATTAGTGAGTAATAAGGTTTAAAAAAATTTATTTAACAGGAAGAAACATAACCATGTCCTTCAGTGGCACCATCCACCTCCTCAGTAGCTTGTACAGCACTGAATATAACAGAGCCCCAGCTGCAAGAGATCCTCCAAGAGCAAACTAATCATCTGTAACTGTGCCATTGTGTTACAACTGCATGTTATTTAATCAAGTCCAGATGGAATTTAAACTACTGTCAAAAGTCGTGGGGAAAGACTTCTTCAAGAAAACCACACTGCACTGCAAAAGTTGAAACCCTGAAGTAATGATAGAAGCTTGAATGCTGCCTAAACAACTGAGTGAAAAGTTTGCATGTTCACAGTTTGAGCACTCACATTTGGAACGCCAAATGGAAAATTAAGTAAGGATATTACAAACAAAAGTACAGAAAGAAAGATGTGCCAAAAGGATGTGGCTGATTAAGACTAAACTTGACATAAAGCAGATGGCTTAACACTTAAAAAATATTCAAATTAAACTTCTCTCTCTCTCAACATAAAAAGAAGGGGAAAAACCCAACCAAATTTCCTATAGCACAGAGTTTCCCAGGGAAGTGTTACCTGGCAGAAAACTGAGCAAATTAAAACATTTATCACAGGCTAGACTCATATTCTTGTTTTGCAAAGAAGCAACTTCTACATTTTAAAAGAAATTCACTCTCTAAACTGAAATCAGCCATTTGTGAAAAACTGGGGTGTGGCTTAGCTTTATTTTGTAGGAATGGGAGACTGCAAAGGTGATACTGAGAGGGAGGCATCCATAGTTATAAAGTAGACAGGAAGGAAATGGCTTGCTGCTGGCGTGGTATAAGCTTAAAACAAAAGCTAGCAGGCCAAGATCAGAATGATCTTGTCCAAAAAACTTCACCTGATAAGGAGTGTACAAAAGCTTGATGATTATCTTAAAGCAAAGACAAACAAGCCCTCGATTCTGTGAATGCAAGTTGTGGATATCAATGGTCTGAAGTATGTGGTATGGGAACTGACAGGTTTTAAATAGAGAAGAAAAAAACCACAATTTTCAATTTTAAGGTTTGTAGTAACTAATCTAAATAATACATGGATTTGAAACCAGAAGTTCAGTTAGAATAAAAATTGTCAGTTCAGGAGCAAGACCTGCTGAAGCTTGGCTTTGGCTGGACCACCACACCTTCACACCTAACACAGAATCTGCACACCAACTAAAGGCCAAAGTAGGAATAAATTTTTTAAGGTTTGATCAGACTCCTGCCTAGACTGAAACACTAATACTGCCATTATCTTAAGATGGCCTGTGACAGCACTACTGCCAACAGAAGCTTTTATCTCCTGCCCCTACCCTTTCACCTGTGGTATTTCTATTTCTGTGTTGCCAGCAAAGTTATGCTGGAAACACTGATGGACTAAGTGACTGGGAAACACAACCTGAGCTGCTAATGCTACATCAAATATCTAGACTGGGCTCCTAGTTTATGCCATCTACTGATGGACTATGCAGCCACTGAGCAGCTTTTCAACTGAGCTGAAATGTTTCATCTCTGCAGCATCTGTACCTCAGACATGAGGCTCTTCTGAAGAGCACAGAAGACACAGCACAGACCAAACTGTCTCACATTTAATCCCATTTGACTCAACTCCCAAAAACAATTGGCTTCTGTAACCAAAACAGACCTAAGAAGAAATCATAAGCAACTGCATTTTAACTTGCAGAACTTCAGCCATTAATCCGTGAACGTGGACAAAAATCACCTAAGCAACGAGGTATTTCTACTACAAAAAAGGACAAAGAAGGCAGGTAGCACTAGTGTTTTAAGAGGCTTACCTTCTGGTTAGTTTGGAAGTCAGTTTGCTGAAGAGGTTGGTGGAGCCGCGGGCGCGGGTCTGCGAGAGCGGCGCGGCCTCGTGGGACAGGCTGGGCGAGGCGGGCGGGCCGTTGTAGGTGGCGGTGCGGCGCTCGCGCAGCTGCCCGTGGAACGTGCTCCGGCTGGCCGTTCCTCTGGGGAAACGAATACGGTCAGGGGTGGTCGCACTGCTAATGCTGTGGGTTGAAGCAACGGGAGTTCTCTGATCGGGAATGGTGCTAGGGCAGAAAACAGAACAAAAAAGAAACCAATGCTAGAACGCCTTCGCACGGGCACCGCGGTTCAGCAGGAAACACAAAACACTACGTTCTACGGTAAAGCGTAAGCAGACACTTTTATATAGGCCAAGGTTGGAAATACCAACATTATTACAGCACTGTATGGAATCAAAACTCGTAAGAAGTTAGGATTAAGAGGCTGCCGAAACAGAAACCTACATAGGCAGAAAAGTGCAACAAGGAGTATCCTGGAAAAGACCAGATAAGCCAGGCCTACAATGTTTTGTTGAGAAGACTGATAAAAGAGCAGACCAGTAAAGTTTCCTCCCAGGAAAGAGAACAGGTAACTTTAATGTCTCTCCCTCCACATTCTGTACATACATCTTTGAAAGTCTTGCTAATTTGAAAGTATCCTACACAAAATTCTCTACAAGCGAACCGCTCCGAGCAGTGAAGTCCTTCGGGATACACAGTTAAAGTCTCCCACAAACTTTGACAATAGGGAATGTCCAATACTCCTAACAATAGGAAAAAATTAAGGTTCACTATTGCAGGATTATGTCACAGACAGCCTGACACACCACAAGACAAATGTAAACGAGACTAAAAAAATGAGGAAACACACATCTTGTGGGCAAAATATACTAGAACAATCTAGGACTAAAATTCCACAGCACAAAGTTAAGAAGCAGTGGGTATAAGTTAGTGTCACAACGATTTCTGGTTCTTACATAGGCCTGAAGTTATCTGCGCCATTGTCTATTGGAGGCAACATCATCTTCGTGTGCACAGAGGCTGACATGGACATCGACTTCTGATGTCGCAGCCGAACACTGGAGAAGGATGTGGTACAAACTGAAGCAGGGCTAGCTGCGTAAGCGAACATTTCTGTCAGGCTGCGAGGGGGTTTGGGTTCAGGCAGAGGCAGAAAGAAGAGCATGATGGACCAACAACAAACTACTGCATAGAAAAAAAGAGCAAACTTTTCCTTCTATTAACTGGTTTATCAAAGAACACGAACTCTCACAGCCCTCCTATGTAACAGCAGTCACTGCCCTACACTCCCCTTAAAAAGCATCCTTACATGGCACTGGACATCTCTAAGTGCCCATGCTCTTACCATTAGCATTAGTTTGCAGTGATACCCTCCTTGATGTACAGAACCTGAAAAACTCAGAATTCCATGCCAAAGCTCTACGATAAAGCACTGATGTAACTTGTATTGCTCTTAACAGTAAACAATGCATTAAAACCCCCACCAAATGCACTTTCCAAAAGACTCATGATAGCTCCATTACTACAGCAAAATCCTTTCTTTTCAGAACATATCCATGTTAAAAGAAATTAGTGAAAGCTGGGCATGCTGTCAAATCTACATCAGATAACTGAGAGACTTCACAGGTACAATCAAAACCAAAAATATCATGATCTTTAACAGCTCCAGAGAGGCCAAAAGAAAAAGGCTGCTAATAATGAACCAGTATGTGTAGTAGGCACTGAACATGCTTGCTGATCTCTGAAGAAAGAAGAATGACTGTTGAAGAGCATCTTGTATTGCTTTGACCATGAACAGTAAATTCTCCAAATCACCATTCAGGCTTTGAAGGAAAGTATAGAGCACTGTCTTAGCAGAATGGCAATGGCCAGTAAGCTGCCAGCTGCATGGTATGTTCAAACAGGAGCATTAAATTTATTTATTTAGGCCAAAATACTCTTTGCAGCTTTCACATTATCTAGTAATAAGGACAGGAGAAAAGTGAGTAGGCACAAGATGTTTTGGGCCTTTCAGACTACACCACCACCTCATTCATCTGAAGTTTGCTTTAAAAGTAAGACAGCTATAATTTAGAAATTTTGTTTAAGGTTAAGAAATCAATAATTCTCAGTGACAGTTTCATGACACTGCATGTTCACTTCCAAATTACTTCTTGGTTACACACAAAATCTCAAGTCCTGTTACCGAATTCTGGTACATCAGACTCTGGAGAGAAAAATGCTAGTGCAGCTACAAGTGTCAGCTCCCCCACTTCTCTTGGCTCCCAAAGCACCAGTGCAAAGCACCACACAGCTCAGACATCTGAACTGATAGCTAAAATGCTTAGCAAAACATACTTGGTTTTGGTTTCTTTTTAACTTTTCAGGATCTGAAAACTTCATCTCAGTCATGCATCTATCTCAACAATGTTGAATCCATCAGGATGACAACTACAAGCACTACTTACAATGAAGCCTTCAGTACAGGCCCAGCATTTACAATGTCCCAGGGTTATAAGGAATTTTCAGAAAATTAACATTAATCTCAAAAGTAATACCCTGAAGTCACACAACTGGTCACTAGTCTCTCAAGCTCTTCCAGCTCATTTCCTCTATATTTACTGCAAGAGATAAAGAATCTAGTTTTGCAACACAAGACCCAAGTTTTTAGTCACCTGCCTCCAAAGATGTGACACCTAAAGGTATCAATAAAGCACCTTCTCCTCCTCTGATGCTTTGCTAGAAATCAGCATCTTTGGATTGCTAGCCTGGGAACACAGGAACAGTGAACTAACAATCACCAATTAGTGCCAAGGCTTATTAAAAATCTGAAGCTGTTGTAAATCATTTGTGTTACAAATGATTTAAAGCAATTGCCTATCATTATGAAGAGTGTTTCATGAGTTCCCAAGTGCGTTAATTAATGCTCAGGCTTTGGAGGAAAGCCAACAGAGTTGTCTCCAGCAGCAGGCCTGTGTCAGCCACACAATGTGTTAAAGCAGAGATGGGAGACTCAGAACTCTTTGCTTCTACCAGCCTGGCATGGGTCTTCAAGACTACTTTCTCCAGCATCAGATCGACTGACTATTGATTCTTTAAAGTTTTCATACTTTCAGAAATAGTGCCTTCTCAGAATTCAATGTGCAAGATAAAAGCAGAATAAGCAATGTTTTGACACTTTTTTCTACAGAAAAAAATTAGAGATTTTAAATGTGTGCATCTTGCCTTTTATGGTAAGTCTCCCAAGTTTTCCCTGAGTCACAGTCAGTATCTGAGTAGCTATGGAAAATCTAAAATCTAATCTGTAATAAACCAATTACAGCAATTACTCTAGCCTGTAACACTTGCCACCAACAGACCCTTCAAAAGCATAGAAGTAATTTTTAACTAAACCTTGGATATGTACAATGGCCAGGTTCAACTTCAGATCTTGCTTTAGAGAAGAAAAAAGAAAAAAGAAAAAAGAAAAGTTTCTAGAGTTACTTTCTGCCAAGCTGAGAGTATAGTAACATCAAAGATTAATTCTGAAGAGCCAGTGCCATCAGTCACCCTGTTGATTTCTCCTGCATTAAAGGCCCCTGCACTTTATGTGACCAGTCAATGCTTTATCCAGTTACAGCAACAAAATACATTCAGATGTAAATTCTGAATTCTGTGCCAAATCACAGTAATTCTGAAACTGTGCCAAAATGAACATGCAGTTTAGTACTGAAGTATTTCAGACAATGAAAGGGCTCCAACTGTAATAAATTAGCAATGCATTCTCATTACCTTGTCTGTTTTTAACCCTCTCTAAAAAGTAATGAATGTAATAATCAAAAAATGCATGATAAAAGCTATAAAGACATTTTTTACCTGTGCAAATATAAATTCTCAGACATTTCAAATAACCCAAATAAGGCTAGTTTACAGAAATGATGGTTAAATATCATATTGACAATAAAAGGTAAATTACACAAGGAAAACCAATTATGAATGTAAACCACAACTAATATAATTGTCAAGTGCTACTCAATCTTAACTTTAAGGACTATCTATGACAAAGCAGAAAACATCAGTTTCCTGAGAAAGTAAAAGCTAGGGAAATAAAATTACTTCATAAGATAGCTCTTTATGAGTATGAACTTATTCCCAAATTAATGGAACATCTAAATCTCAAGCATTCCTTGTAAACAATATCTAGCAGCTTTCAAAAATGCAATAAAGAAACTGTAGGCAAGATATTAGTTTCAGGATGGACAGAAATGGTACTAAACCAAGTAATCAAGTAATAAAAAATTATCAAAACTATTATGGACAGAAATATTCATTTTCTCAAAGAGTGTTTGGAAAGAAAAAAGCTATTAACATATCAAATCAGAGAAAGGATGGTGAGCTTTACCCTAAACAACTTGGTAACATGAACAAGGAGTAACCAGTGGAGGCTGAGACAGACACACAAGGGACAGCACCAAAGAGCTGTGCTGTACTTCACAGACAGGTGACTGCAGGCCCAGCTGGCCAACTACACTTCTGGCAGCCTCCAAACTTATACCTGACTCCTCCCATTTGCAGAGAGCTAGGAGGAAGAGACAGGGTCAAAGTCATGTTCTTTATCCCTAGGCTCCAGGAATCAAACAGGGAATAGACAGGCTGTCCAGTCAACATCACAACTCCTCATCAACTGCCAAAAGGAGGGAAAAAAATTTGTGCAAAAATACAAGTTAGAAAATAGTTATTTTCTTCCCACCCTTTAAAAAATATAATAATATTAGGAAGGGCTGGAGAAAATTTGGAAGCATAGTAGAAGGGTACACATTCTTTTAAGTACCAGCTATCTGAGTGCTCTCCTGGCAAGCGTTAATTACTTAATTGTTACCATCTTTTGACAGCAGTAAAATTCTGACAAGAAGGGCTGGAAATTAAAATACCTCAGCCAGCCAGGAAATTTGGTGGTGTTCCTCCCAAGTGCTACTCTATACCTGATATCCATGTTCACTATAATATTATTTCTGACAGCTCTTCTCAGTCTTTGCAGGATGGCAGTAGATGTGACCACGGTGCCAACACATAGAGTGGTTAGCTCCAGTTCCACTGCATGCTCTACTCAGGCTTTCATTCAGTAGATTAAAAAGAAATTTGTTATTTCTCTGATTGTTTTCACTCAGAATACGGAGATACCCTAAGGAGGGAAGCCGCTGAGTTCTGTAAATCATGGGAAACAATTAAGACTGCCACAGTATCGGCAAGGAACACTGTTAGTCCAAGACAATGGTGAATCACCATTTCATCTTTGCTTAGATAAAATTACCTTCTCCCTGAGACTTTGCAGCAAAAATGGTATTTCAAATAATCCCAGTGAAGCAGAGTTTAGAGTGAAATACAAAAAGAGAATGGCTGAAGATTGTAGTCTGACACTGAACAAGGCTCTTCTGCAAGCATGTGCTGTTTGGCCACAGGAGTTCACAACAAATTTAAAATGAAGGCTGCTACAAATATTTCATGTATTTAAACCAGAAATTAGAAACTTCCTTTTACATTCTAAGTATAAAGATTATAAAATTAAATACAGGAAAAAAACCCAAGCCCCAACATACTTACAGGTGCTCCATAACCAAGGATCTGTCTGTACTCACCTTTCATTACGAATTACATTAGAATATCACTTATTTTTAAATTAGGCATTAGAATTTTTTTGGAAAGGTGAAGACAAGCGACATACACCATAGGAAGACATTTCATATACCTGTTCTCCTTGCCATTTTGTATCACTGAGTGCCTATCAGCAGTGGTTCTCTCACTACAAACATATGTGTTGCGCCGTGTCATTGCTCCAGGGGTAGTATTATTCTACAATTAAAAAACACAGGTTTGTTATTCCCCACAGAAGGCTTTTCTGAGGTTAGTCTGCATATAATTGAAGGCTTTTTACTTAATGCTAGTTCTATGCAGCTCTAAAACTTACAATAATTAAATAACTTAATATACAAACTCTATCTAGTATTTGTAAGGAATATTGCAATCGGAAAAATTAATTCTAACAAGTTGTTCATGTATTTCATATTGATGGTTCAAAATTAATATTCCTTAAAGTTTTTAATTACAAATGTTCTGAATTACAAATTCTGAGTATATACAGCATTCTTCTACATCTGCATAGTCTGTGTCTTTATAGCCTATTTTTGAAATACTTTACCACTTGTAGCTTGGAGAATTTTCCTTTAAGTTAAAACCATACCCTTAAACAAGATAGGAAAAGCAAAGACTTAACAAACAAATGTGGTAAAATTCAGTGGGAGGGTGAACATGGACTTTTTAATATTAAGCTACTATGAAACACTAGACAAGTTTTAAAAACAGGGAAGAATAAGAGACAAATTGCAGAGAATTTTAGTAAGACATTTTTTAAAATACACATTTCAATACAAGCATAATACACTGAGGAAAAGAGAACCAGGGGAACTTAAACTACAGACCTTACTTGAGAGGGGAGAAAAGAAATAGAATTACTTTGCCTCTGTCTTTACAGAGAAAGAGGGTGGAGATATGCCCAAGTTGGCGGTCAATTTTCCAGGAACGACTGAGAAGCTATAGGTAATTCACAGATAACAAAATTATAAGAAGTTAGATACAATTACTGTAGGAAAAGCAGGGTGGTCCAGACAAACATGCACCCCCAGGTCGTAGAGGAAGTTAAAGCTGGCAAGCCTTTGTATTTTTTTCTCCCCACCCCAAGAACAAAACACAGGAAACTGCAAATGGTTGAAAAAGTAGAAAAAAACCTTTAAAAGTTTTCTTTAAAGAAAAGGATCACGGGGCAAAGCAGGAAGCAAAAAAGGCTATAAACTTCAAACATCACTGCTGGGGAAAGTCTTGGAGGAGGTCAGCTTAAGGGAATGACTGGTCAGCACCTGGATAAGCACATGTTGAGTAAGGAGGGCCACTAAGAATCAGGCAGGGGACTTCATGCTCAACCAACCTTTTGGAGCTCTTTGAAGAATTATGCTATGACGGACAAGGGAAACTCAGTGGATTTTAAAAATAGCATTAAGAAAAGGTTTCGCATAAACGGTCACAGGAGAGAATCATGGCAAGAAGGATTAAAAAAAAAAGAAAGGAAAAACTAGTTCAAGCACAAAAGCAGAGTAGCCAAACCTTTTTTGTTTCCGAACCTGAAATAAAACTGTTAAAGTGGAGTATTCTCAATAAATACCAAAAGTGCCTTAAGGCAAAATATCTGCTGTCTAGAGAGTCTCAAGCAACACATTCCCTGAGCTATTTAACCTTGAAGCCATCTTGTCTAAGGGACTGCTGACTTGTTTGTTACACATCTTTTTACACAAATGTACAAATTAAAATGCAACAGTGAAGTGCACAACATCCTGGTGTTAAAAAGTACAAAGACAAAGGATATTTTAGACTGGCAGAACAATTAATTAACATGTTAAATGCATGCAGCTGTCTAAAGGGTTCTCAAATATTCTTCATTAGGGATAAGCATGTGCCAGGCATCAGCAGAAGCCTTCCTGGCTCTTTCCTTGCACTTTATTCCTTATACATTCTTTGTCTTCATATACATTTATTTATTTAAAAAAAACCCACCACTAATTCCTCCACTTTGACATTTCCCACTGTATAAACTCCTCTCTCTTTACTAAGCATGCCAGCAATGAAAGCTGTGCACCTAAGGTGAGGTTTTGTTTATCTGCTCTTGGGAGGTCACACTGTGCAGGACACTTCTTGGAGACCTCACAAATCAATGGTACAGTGAAATATTGCTTATTAGTATTTGCAGGTCATTTTGTTCAGTGTTCTGAACATACCAAGAGGATGAAGAACCTAAAATATCCAACACTGGTCTTCTGGTAGGAAACAAGCACAATAATCAGTGGCTTCCTTCTTTCCACCTGCTCCCTTTGAACACGAAATGTTGGTTTCCCTCGAGGAAACACCACATGACATCACAATGTATTGTCATGTTGCACATCTGGAAAGATAAGACTGCAATCTCTGTGCTGGACCAGACTTTTAAGACTATTCATTTTCAGGTTTGAGAGTAGACAAGTTTTGTTATTCATATCTGAAATGAGAGTACTGCAAGGACACGCTCGCCCAGCTCATTCTGAAATGCAAAGATGGGAGCATCAGCATACATTTTTTCCTGTTTGACTCAGATTTCAGAGGTCAGAGGAAGAGATTTAAGCACTTCAAGGTTTCAAATTTCAGTTTTGGCAAGAATAGTCTTGGTATTGGGGCCTTTACACTTTCTAGTGTATGACCTTTCACGATTCATCAAGGAAGCTCTTCAGCTGTGACTTTTTGTTCAGCCAATCTACAGACTGTTAATCTCTGGACATGACTAAATAGCACAGGTGCACAGCACTGGAAACTGGTGTGAGCAGCACCCCATTCCCTGATGGAATGACAGCTCCCAGGGTCAGGGTTAGCTGCCTAAGTTCATCTTCATGGCACTGTCTGCCTTCTTTGCAGGAGGAGCTGACACAGCACAGCACATGTTGAGACTTGTGAGCACATGCACAAGGCCCATCACTGCACAAAGGATGAATTTGTGGCACAGAGTCCTCCTCTTTTCCTAGAGAGAGTCTTGTGTGCACTGCTCAGGCAGGCTATTTCCCATTAAGAGACACCAGGAGAAGGACTGATGAAAAACTTTCATAAAAAGCTTCTGACTTACAACAGTGAGGCAATCTATTTAATTAAGAGCACTAGTATGGTATTTGGTCCTGGATGACTTTTCAAATGTACCACCTGTCCTCCTCTTCCAGTTTTCTCAAAGCTATTCTAAGGGCTCTGGGACAGCTGTATTATAACACTGAGGAAAAAAATCCAAAGCTCTAAGAAACAAACAAGGAATTATTAAGACACAGATATATCAGTTTTTGCTAACTATCCCATGTCTGTAGCAGGTTTTCATTATTAATTTGGTATTTGCCCAAATAGCTTGAAGATTTTTGAGGTGTACTTGTTCACCTTGCAGAACAATTTTGTTTACAAGAGTTTAAACACTCTGTCAACTTCAGAAGTACAGCTTGGAGCCCCTCACTCCAGTCCCAGACTCAGCTATCTGCTCTCCAAGCACAACTCTTATCCTTAAGTGCAGGCTTTTATGCTTGGGTACTCAATAACAGTAGCACACAACTGACTAAGGGTCTCCAGCAAGGACTGGTTCTACTGCTTTTGCTGTTCTGTGAAAATATTAGTTGTTTGTATAGGATATTTTTATATCTCTTCAGTGCTTTTTCATCATATTACAGATTTCAGGACTTCAGTGTTCAGTAAAACAGAAACGCTCTTCACCTCAAACTTTTTTCAACCTCAGGACAATATGGTAACTCTTATATATTTTTTTTTCCTTCTAGACACATGCCAACACTGTCAGAAACAGAATTCCCTTCTCAGTTGCAGGAAATGAGTAAAGAGACAATTTTAAACACTAATTATTGAGTGACAACATAAGTCTGGTTTCCTGTTCACCACCTGGTATCATGCTAGTAAAAGATCTGCTGGACCAGTTGCACACTGAGTCAGGGAAGCATCATATGGTCACAAGCTGAAATTTTATGTCAGGTACAGTAGTAAGAAATTTGAAATAAGCCTAGTGGAATAGATCCCCAATATTTGGGAGTGGCACAGAATAGCAGATGAAAAGATATTGAATGTAAAGTATGTTGTAACTGTGACACAAATCTTCTGAACAAGGCACCATACAATACCAAGTGAAGTCCAAAGGAGGAAAAAAACTGATTTGATTATCCTACCATTTTGGGATGCAATAGCTAAGAACTGTCTTCTAAGAGAAAACCAAATCTGAATGGTTTCTGCACTGATCAAGAACAAAGGGAAACTGTGCAGGACCACAAAAACAAAAAAGGGTCCCCCAAAATCCTGAATTCTTGTTCACATTTATGAACAACAGCTGCTACAGTAGAAGATGTGTTCTCCAAGGAAACTCTTGGGCTGATACCTTGAGACAAGACACTACCAGCCACTGAGCCAACTGACAATACAGGGTCAATAAAGTAAAACAAGTTTCATTTCACTTATTTTGCTTCAGACTGTCCTGCAGCTCAGGAAATTATGTTCTCATTTGCTGTAAGTAATGGTGCTAATTATTATGACCAAAGACCTATGACAGCTTTGTGGGATGAGTTAAAAAAAAAAGTTCTGTTGCAAGTTGAACAAAGGACTGAGAATTCTTTTCTTCTGAAAAGAAGGAAGTTTTTCAATACAAAATTCCGAAGTTTTAGAAATTAAATGTCACATGACTGAAGCATTATGTGAAAACAGATTTCCAACTTTGCCTTTGAGGGAGAAACCACAGAGAACGCAAGTTAAAGCCAAAATGAACAAAGGATTTTCTTTCTTTTGGCACACTGCCTGTTGCTAAACCATGAACATTCACTACTTTTGCTCCTTTGTATGTTTTTTTTTGTTGTTGTTGTGGTTTACAGGCAGGTGGGGGAAGCCCACAAGGACAAAAGTCAGGCACACTGCTTTTGAATACAGGCTGAAATACATCTTTGAAGGGTTTTTAGACCTACATTTCTTTGATAACCTTAACAACATAACTATGACTTAAAATAGTAATGTTTGAGGATAAAGATTAGGTGGCTCCTTATACACATGAAACTATAAAACAGGATAACAAAAATAGAGATTTAATTCTTCTGTACAAAAGCCACAGAGGAGTGGTTGGTGATATCAGGAGTAACATAATTATCTTTTTTTCATTTTACTTTTTTAAAATACCCAAATGATGCCTGTTTACCAAGAGCTAATAATGCTAATTATGAATACTGACTACTTCAAGACTATTAAGAGGTAACTTAAAGAACTGACATTGCAAGGGAAAAAATACCTACATTTACTCTTGATAAATGAAAAGTAAAATCAGCACCACCGATAAGTCACACATTTAACACTTCTTTATGCCTCAAAAAAATTAAAGGTTTTGATAAATAGACATTTCTACTTACACTAGGGACAGCTGAACTTTTCTTACGTTCAGGAATATCAGCCTTATTGGGGTTGCTGGCATTTCCAAGCATTGGGCTAGCTGGTGCAATTCCTCTTCCTGCAACAGCACTACTGCTGGATTTTCTTGACTGAATTCCTTCCTCTTTGAGGTCACTGTCTGTAGTACTAGTCTGGCTTCTTTTAGGATATGCCACTACCGAGGGGATGGATGGTCCAGCTTAAAAAGCAAACGAAAGAAACAGGAAAAGTGTTTTTTTCTTCTCGGAAGTTCAGTGACTATTTTTTATCACAATGGAAATGTATTCACACATGAGAACTAACACAGTTAACACTGGGAACCAGAGTTGCAAAAAGATTAAATTATTGAAATAGATGTATTTCAGGCAACAGCAGAATATTGTGAAAAACAAAAACCTTGTAAGGTGAAGGTACAACTTGATTTCCATGAAAGTTCCAAGAATTTAATTAAGGTTTCTCATTTGGCTTGCTAGAAAAACAATTCAGAGACATCTTAAAGACACTTAACAAGTAACTGACTCATTCAAACCAGAGCATCCCTCATTAGCACAGTGCTGCCATGTGCTGTTCAAGCCAATTTCCTGAGACAGGCAGGTGATGACACAACCCTGGGCCACCAGCAGCACTGATGGCTGCTGGTCTGTGCTCCTGCAGAAGTGGCAGTGGCTCACCACCAGCCTCCCCACGTGTGCCAGGAACACACAACTGCTCCCACACCTGAGAATGAGGAAGCCCCTTCAACAGTGCCAAGCTCCCTCTTGCTTTAACAGCCTTCTTGAGACTGGGTAAAGTCTGTGGTGTGTGTCAGGATTGTGTTCTCTGACATCTCACACCTCTGAAGAGGATAACAACAAGTCACATCAACCTCCTTTTTAACTATTTAAATAAGAATTCATCAAAAAGTGTATGTATGTATATACACAGACATGAAGAATACATATAAATACATACACATATAAGTATATAATATGTAGCTAAAGCATGTTTTACAAGTATCAAAACCCCCAGTAACTGGCATTCCAGAAGACTCCCCAAGGAAATCAACCTCTGAATACAGAAAATGTAGGCCTAAACTGGGATTCCTTTCATGAGTTAAGTGTCTGAGCAGGAGGATGTTGAAGACATTTAGAAAATCCTAATGTACTACACTGCACTTTCATTAAGCAGAAAAATTGTAAGTTTGTCAGAGTCATTGTTCTTCAGAAATTTAGTTCCTGGGGGACAACCAAGTGACACTAGCCTTAGGAAACAGGAAACCAGAAATATTGGCAAACTGACATTTCTTCAAGTTTTAGACACAAGCTGACCTACTAGTGTCAAAAGAAAACAAAAGCTGAACACACATACAAGAGCATGGGGGAGGAGTGCTGTGCTTTTCATGAAAAAGGGGGTTGCAACATTCTCTTCAATTTGTGTAACAAGACTTTGCCAACACAGTCAGGAATTTATGGGACAACACAAGGCAGAACAAGAGAATTAAGTTGGTGTATTCAGTGTTCCTCTAAAAGCTCTTTTGAAGGCTTTATAACAAAAGCAATTTTAAAAATCAGTTATTCACTAAAATATTTAACCACCATGCTGTGAACTATGCTGTTGTCATCCTCTTACACTTGGGGGATGGAGACAAATCTAGAAACTGAGCAGAAATGGAAGCCACTGTACTCTGCAAGACTGAAAATGAGAAATGCTCACCGTGATCACTGTACCGCCGCTGCTTCTGGCTAGAAGATATGCTTCTCTGAACTTTGTGATGAGGAGATTGTCCAGTGCTATTATTAAGATCACTACTTGGCCTAACTTTGGCAAGTGAAAGATTGCTGCTGGAGCTTGAATCACTTGCATCCAACTACAATACAAACGAGAGTATGAAAACAAGAAGTTCAGACAAAAAAAATTAAAACATTCACCACATTCTGGGAGCAGGAACAGGGAGGTGGAAGATGGCTCTGCTACATGGGAAATTACTGATGGCATGGGCAGTTGCTTTGAGGTCCCACCTTCTTTAAGGTTGTTGTACAACTGTCTTAGGTAAAACTCAGTGGAGTTTGCAGCTCCTCAAAGGATAATCACTAAAGAAAATCCATCTGTCCTTTCAGAACTCTTCCCTCAGAGTTCTCCAAGATTTTAACAGAAAGAGAGGATACACTTTGTAGAGGCCACCACACCAATTCCAGCAGAGGAACCAAGAGCAGCTTACTGATGCTAAGCCCTCTCAGCATTGTATGGAAAGGTAATGCACAACGCAAGAACTTTTTCAGGTTGGTCAGTCCTGCACCTTGGTTCTCTTAAAATAGTTACAGCTGGACACATTCACACCTGAGCTGCTGGACTAGCCAGGAGAGTAACTGCTGAGCAAACAGGGCAGCTCTGGAGAGCCTAAAGACAGGTGAGAACAAATCTGCTTAATTTGGACTGCTGATGAGTAGAACAACATGACTTTAAGTGAAATGGACTTTTGTGCAGGAATGCAATGCCTACAGTAACTGACTTAATTTTTGCTTCTAACTCTGCTAAGGACACTTTGTGATTTGCTTCTTTGCAGTTTTAAGAATGGCACTTACCTCTGATGACTTCCTTCCTAGCAGTAAGTATGTAGCTGTGATTTCATCATACTTCATTTTACTAAGGGATTCTTGAATTTCCTCTTGAGAATATCCCATTCCTACCATAATATCTAAAATCGAGAAGACATTCAGTAAGTAACTGAAACTCTGATGTTCAGGCAGGCTGAGTGTTCAAGAGAAAGAATGAAACACTTAAAGAATTAAAAGAGAATTATTAATTTTGAGAACATCAACCTGATCAAGTATCAGTCTTAAAGGATTAGTTGCTTTTTCCAAATGTCAAACAAATACAGAGTGTGGTGGAGAGAAAAAAAAAACTCCCACATCATGCAAACAGTACTGTGGTCCTGGAAAGGGAAAGTAACCAATTACCTATTCTTTTCTGGTCCGAGATGTCTAGTTCTGGTTCAACAAAAGGTTTAAGTTCATCCTCCTCATGCCCTGCATTGATCCACCTGTCCTTCATAATTTGCTATGAAAAAAAAAAAAGAAAAGTTTTGTTAGTACAGTACAAGTAGCAGCAAAGAAAACAACCTGTGGGAAGAACAACTTCTTTATGCAACAAACACTAAGGTCTTTCCTAGTTTTTCTTTTCCAGAACATTTCCAGCACCTACTGTTTTGCTCCAGTGAGGAGAACTAACTACAGACATCAAACCAAGCTTCTCCCCTGTCAGCTGTACTCCAGCTCACAGCTGAGAGCCAAAAGCCTGCAATGCAGACCAGGAGCAGTGTGACAACTTTGACATGGCTTGGAATTCCAAGCTCCACCATCAGAATTCCATAGAAGCCCTGTTTTGGTTTTTACTCCTCCATGAGGGTACAAAAGGCAACTACAACAGCCAATACCTCCAGCTCACAACTGAAAATGTAGAAAAGAACGTGGTGGATCATCCATTAATGCAGCAATCCACAAGTGAACCACCAAGAAAAGTTATATGACATAGAAAGTGTTGTGACACATTGATTTTGAAAGTAACTGTAGTCAGGTGTATTACAACCCAGTAAACAATATCTTTGAAGAGTCATGTGCTTTCATCAACAATCCCACCTCCAAAGTCCACCCCAAATATGCATAGGAACAGTACAGAAATAATAAACTACAGTTCAGAAATGCAGTTTGTAAAATTTGATGCACCTCATTTGTGCAATTACCTCTAGAGTGCCTCTTTTTGTTGGGTTTAGCACCAGGAAACGTTTGAGGAGGTTTTCACAGTCTGTGGACATGTAGAAAGGAATCCTGTATTTTCCCCTTAGCACTCTTTCTCTAAGTTCCTTGGTAACAGAACAAGAACAGCCAGTAAGTTGTAAGCAGCAAGTCACTTAAAATATTAGATAAACATGGCCAACATAGTCTACAAAAAGCTACCTTTAAGTTCTGTCCATCGAAAGGAAGAGATCCACTCACGAGAGTATAAAGAATAACACCTAAACTCCAAACATCTACTTCAGGTCCATCATATTTCTTCCCTTGAAAGAGCTCTGGAGCAGCATATGGTGGGCTGCCACAAAAGGTGTCCAGTTTATTTCCAACTGTAAACTCATTGCTAAAACCAAAGTCAGCTATTTTAATGTTCATATCTGCATCTAGCAATAGATTTTCAGCCTGGAAGAGAAAGAATGGTTTGTAGATGAATAAAATACTTGATTTAGAATGCTGTTGATTGCTTTTACTCATTCTTAAAAGGCAAGAAACTGAAATACCCGTTAACATTCCCTTCCTCGCAAGGTCTTTAGGTGTGCTTTAGTCAATCATTAGCATATCCTGATTTAAAAATCTCTGTACAATGGCTTCAGACTATGGGAGCTGTTTCACTGCCTGAAAACTTGTTACCATCTGTTTTTCTCTACAGAAATGTATCTTACATTTTCATCTATTCAGATGAAAATAAGATACAGTCTCACTATCCATACTTGATAGCATGTGGTATTCTTGCAGTAGTTAGGTAATAAACGTAACTTTTAAAGTTCTTTTTTTTTTTAGTGGTGGTATTGTTTTTTGCTTTTTTTTAAGTTACAAAGCTATGACAAACTGAACAAATTATGTAGCAGTGCTATTAATATAAAAGGCACAGTTTAAAGAAGAGATATGCTATTTCATGGCAAGCTGCAAAGAAGCCATACTTCAGTTTCATTATCACTATTGGTAATTCATTCTGTTCAACATCAATTCTTGTCATATCTCTATCAAACTACCACTTAAAAAAAAAGATTTCTCAGCTAACACTGACCTGCATCAGATCTGAATGTGACCGCTGAGGGAGAGGTTCAGCAACCATTAAATGTTTGCATTTAAAAGCCTTATAAATCCTCTTCCTTTTATTTAAAAAGGTTCTAAGCTGCAAATATTTCACAAGACTCGCTATAACATATGCAAATAAATAAATAAATAAATCAGAAAGCTTAGTATAAACTGTATTTTATAAACAATAAAGGTCACACCCACAGGTAGAGAAGCTGACACACATATGCTGCACACACTTTTTCCTACTCACCTTGAGATCTCTATGAACAATATGCTTTTGATGGCAATACTGCACTGCAGATACTATCTGAATAGAAAACAAACCAAATTATGTAAGTGACATCTCAAAGAAGCAGGAGCTTTAATCAAACATTTCAACATTGAAGTTGACATGAAGTTATCCAGTCAGAGCTACATAACCAATTCCTACAGTGACCAGTATATTTGGGAAAAAGCTGCTGAATAACTTTAATGTTATTTGATCTATTTGCTTTCTCCTGTACTTGAACGAGGATTTTGTTTTTCCTGTGGGGCTAATTATAGACCAGCAGAAGCAATGACTTTCAGAAAGGTTACTGAAGTATTTCCATTCCAATACTGTATACAGCTATAAAAGCTTTCCCCCTAGACTGAGGTTTTCCAGGCCCTCTCCAAAGGTGATTTTTCATGCCATGCCAGAGAGAAAAGGGTAAGAAATGGGCTTTGGTTGCTTGAGAAACTACTGGGAAACAGCTTGTTTGTCAAAATTTACCCAATGAGTAGCAACTTGGCATCTGACAGAGATCTGCTGTCTAAGTGCATATGGTTTAGTGCATTTTGTATACCATAGCAAGCTCAATGGAAAAACTCTTATGTCTCTGAAGCGTAATGGAATAATTTCCTCCATGATAATGTCCAAATATCATAAAGATTTTTCTGCTTTATATAGCAAACCATAGAAGCTATACACAGTGCAGTGTCATAGTACATTGCTTCTCAGAGTCATAAGCACTGCTGCAGAACTTCACATGTATGGAAAAGGTAGATAAAGTATCATTCTTACATGACCACAAATGCAGTCAAATGCATTTTGTCACACATGCATGGTCAGAATTGAGGTAGATGTTATGATTTGTTAAAATAAGTGGAACTGCACATAAAAACAGTAACTACACTTAAATAAATATATTTTCAGACTTCATTCAAGAGTAAGAATACTTTCCCAGCAGAAAGATGAGGTAGCATTACTGTTATAAGAAAATAACTCCTGATCAGATCACCAGTTCAGTGTCAGGATCCCCTGTACTGGCAAAGGAGCAAAGGTTCTCTCCCTCAGCATTTAGAGCACATGAAAGGTGTTCATGGTTCAGGTTCCTGGTAGGCCAAATAACTGATGCACCAGTAAGTTTTGTATTTGAAACTTAAGCACCAAAGTGATCTTTGTGCCCTGTAATATTGAATCACTCACATGCAAAATGTCACCTTAGAAACCAAGCAGATGGTGGAAAGCTGAAGTACTATTTCCATTCCCTACACCTTTATTCTGGTTTTGCTTTTTCCTTTATGTACTGGTTCCCTCTTTCTGACTCCAAGTTCAGCTTTTTGCAGTTACTGAAACTGCCAAAGTGCTCCCATGCCACCACTTGTCCCCTCCTTTTGGTTTCCTTCCTTTTCTCTCTGCTACCATTATCTCAGCCCCAGTCACAAGCTCACTCTGCAGGGGCTCTCAGTGCTGACAGCATGGCAAACACCTCAGGCTTTATTCAGGATTGCAGAGACACAGCACTACCACCACTCACTCCTGAACTGCTTTATTGTGACTGCCTAAGAGCAGAAGGCTGAGCAGATGATCAATCAGTAGCTTCCTTTGGAGATGCTTTTGAACTCCTCTGCACTGCAACAGGATGGCAGGGAGACTGCAGAAGTGAGTCCAATCCATGTGAAGTGAAATAATGAAATGTGTAGGACATTAATAATTGAAGAACATAACTGAATGAAAAATAGCACGAAGCATGGCTGCTCCAGACTGAAACTCTTGTCTTCCAGCTTCCATCACTGTTTCCATTGACACTCCCTCACTTCCTAACCTTGTGTGAGGAATTTTCTGACACTTGGCAGGTGAAGAGAAGGGGAGAAAAACCATGTGAGCTTCTTGCTAGAAGTAACAATTGGAACATTGAAAAACTTATCTAAAGAGTGATTTCAAAAATCTGTATAAATATAGGTTTTGAAGAAGTTCTCTCCAGGCAGAAGAACCATTCTCTAAAAGGATTAAATGACAAAAGGATAAATGACCTCTCAAGGCCCTTTCCAACTGCTAAGAGCATTCTGTTTCTTTACTGGAACACACCAATAATATGCATTTGTGGATTTTATAATTTTCTAAGATCTGTCCTAACATCTACCAGCATTAAGAATTCTAAACTGCTTCAGCAGGGAAACAATGAGAATACTGAAGAAGGCCAGATCTTACTGCTTGCAGGAAAGAGAGGGAATTAATACACACAATTTAACAAGACTTGCTGCTCAGCACAGATTTTTTTTTGTGGAAAAATGATGAAACTGAACCAGAACTGCCTGGAAGTCTGTAATGGGGAAGACAAATAAGGTGACATTAAGAATGCAAAACATTCTCAATTTGAATTTCTCACACATGGCTACACAAAAGGAGTTTGAAATGGAGAACTGTACAGCATAGTTGTATTCTTAGATTTTGTGCCTTCTCCTGTGTTCCTTGTCAAATGCAACTGAAATCATGATTTACTGCCTTTTACATTCTATTTTCCTGCTAAAAACCTTACATATGTTTAACAAAATAGACTACAAAATAATTCCTTTTTATCTCTAAAAAGCAAAAAGGGAGAATTGCCGAATCCTGCTCTTTGCCTGCTAGAGAGGAAATGTGTCCTCAGACAAAACACAAGTGTTTGATCCAGAAATCACATCTACTGAAAGAAGAAACATGATCTGAAAACAAGATATAATACAATCTATTGTAAGAACTAATCTCAATACCATGGCACAACTGTTTCTTCAGTTTAGAAAGAGCCACTGTCTGCTAAAACAGTTAACAAATTAAAAAAAAAAAAGAAGGCTATTATGTCATAAGTCTCTGTCTAACAGAGAACAGCTGCACTGCATCAGATAAAAGGTCTGCAGAGTGCATTCTTCCTCTAACAATGACCAAAAGTGATACACAGCTATTCCAGGACTACAGTAAGGTGAAATGAATAGTTTCATGACCTGTGAACCCAGCAAGATCTAGTTTCCTTGTTTCCTTTGACACTGTCCCTTTCAGCATCTAAGAAAATGCCAAGCTCTGATCAAAGTCACCTGACTTTCATCCAGCAAGAATGATTTTCTCTCTAGCTTAGCCCAATCAGCTTGTGCTACAGTTTCTCTCCTCTGCTTATTTCCAGGCTTCTCTCTTTTTTCTCATGAACTGAGGCTTCTGAAGCTTTCAAAAACCTCCCTTCTTTGAGATCAAGGTCCTCTAAAACTAGTTGAGATCAGCAGCCAGGAAATCAGCTGTTGGGGGAGGACAGAGCACAGCTGTCTGCACCAGGAGACTTGCATGAAAAAACTAAAAAGTGTATTCCAGTGCACACAAGTGAGGCCATCTTTATATCTTCATAAACAGCATTTATTCTACTGAAATACAAAAGAACCCCAACAAACCAACTCAAAAAAATCATCAGGCTGGGAGTACATAAACCCAATTCTTGATGGGTCAAACACTCAGCTCAGCAGGTAACTCCCTTTTAAATTCTTTCCCTCCACACTTCTTTTTGAAAATGAAGCTATAGCCTGTACTACCCACATTATCTCAAAATTAAGTACTGAGTGTACCTGTAAAACATGTTTGACCTGTTTCTGTATGGTTTTACTTAAAGGGAAGTAAAATTGTTAGAAAAAAATAGGTATTTATTGAAGAAACATGTTATTTTAATGTAATTACTGCAAGATCTTTTTCCACATAGCTCCTGAAAGAAACTGAGGACTGAAAGCAAAAAGTCTATCAGCAGAAGTTCCCAATATTCACATCTGAGAGAGAACAATCAATCCTCTCAAGTTACTCTGAAGCTCTTCATGTGACATTACAAAGGCAACAGCCAGGGATTTAGAAGAGATGGCTGAAGTGGCAATGGCTGTTTCACATCCCACCACTTCTACTGCCAACACAGCACAGGAGCATAAACCAGAAACCTTCATCACAAAGAAAAACTCTTTACCTACCAGAATATGAAAGTGGAGGCAGCAGTTTTAAAAAGACATGTAAGACTTTGTTGAAGAGTGAGAAAAGTTTTCCTTACTGTCAAGCTGTATAACTCCAGTAATCACAAATGATTCTCTGGGGAGAAGTCTACAGCTGCTTTTGGGTTGTTTTGTTTGTTTGGTGGATGTGGGTGTGGTGGTGGGTTTGGTGTGGGTGTCCCGTCCCCCCCCTCCAAAATTAAAAGGGGTAAAAACAAGATTAAGATGAGAGAAAACAAAGCAAAATCATTCATTTAGCTCCTGGAAGTCTCATATCTTACATCAAATTTCTGTTGTGTATGGCTATGCTTGAGAAGTGAAACTATCAGAGCCTCCCCTTCCAAGAGGGCAACTGACTGACACATCACTGCCATGATCCAGCAGTTTAAAACTCCTACACACCATTCAAAAAACCACTCTTGTCCCTACTCATTATTTTCAAGTGTCATTAAGCTGGAGCATAATTTTGACATTTATTATTTGTCACAACATTACTGAGGCTATCCAAGTGACCAGAGGGAATAGGCATTTCAGCACAAGAGCAGAAAACAAGTGTGTTAGACTGGTCAGATCTGAAACTCCAGATGCTACAAGAGCAGATATTTGGATTTAAATTAGTTATGCAAAAGTATCTGGTTATGTTCAGTATTTGACTGGTCACGTTCAGTACTGCTTGACTGTAGAATGGAAATGCTTTTTGCAGATCAATGAAATTCCAACACCTTGGCAGGGCTAGCTTATTCATCATACAGAAAGCTAAACTAACAAGTCTAGACATTACTTTTCTGTGACTTTTTAGAACAACTATTAAACAGTATCTTCTCATGTAAGCAGATGAATGTGAATGGATCCCTACTACATGCACTGTCTGCATTTTGAAACTGGCCTGTTTGTAGCCTGTTACATTTGAACAACTTCCAAAATGTTACAGACCTGCTGAGCTAAGGACATATGAAATCAGCCCAGAGGAAATGCATTTTGGAATGGAATACACTTCCAAGCCAAGCAGTCCCTGTGTTCTGGCACTCTTGGACACCCTGGCACTCAGCACTAAGGAAACCAGCACCACTGAAGAGACTGACTCCTTCAAAGTACTGCTGTGACCTAAGTTTTTTCTTACTCAGAGCTGCAAGCCCACAACATGCTGAACACTGCTGTAAGTCAAATGCAAAGGACAGCTGTTTTACTCATTTCAGCATTAAAAACAGGGGCGAGGGGAAAGCTGACATATAGGAATGTTACACATACCTGTCTAAATTTAGCTCTTGCCTCCTTTTCCTTCATTCTTCCATGTGCAACCAGATAGTCAAACACCTCCCCTACAATTCAAACACAAGATACATTAATGCCAGTTTCAGAATGTAGAGATTCTTCTCCAGCAGTTGCCCACAGCAGCTTCACTGGAATTACTGTACTTGAAGTTTATGATTACAGGACAGCTCAAGAGAACAAGGCACAACTGCTGTGCAATTTACTACACCATCATCTCTTTTACAAGAAAATAATGAGTGACTGGATATACACAGAGGAAACCATTTCCTTCCAATTACTTGGGATAGAAACTGAGCAGCATACTTCTGTTTTGTAAACAAAGATGACATCTACCCTTTCACAGACTTTCTCACAAGAGTTTCTTTTGCTTCAGAAAAATAAAAGTTTCACATATGAGAACAACTGATTATATTTGTAAATGCCATCATACCAACACTAGAATTTTAATTTGTGCATGTGTATAAAATGATTCTAAACAAAATCAAAAACCTTAGCTTTAACCTAGGCTTGGAAGAAGTACCCACAAGGAGGGTCACAAGAATGAGCACAGCAGGACACACTGACATAATCCCTCACACAACCATCACACCTGTAAAATACATAGAACCAGGCCACTGTTGTACGGTTGTGGATGACTAAAGATTACTGAAGATCTACTGTGTTTTAGTTTTTCCCCTCTCTAATCAATGCAGTCATTTTAGAGCACATCAATACAGACTACAATGTTTGAGCTTTAGGTGCAGGCCACTGGCCCATGAAACACTGACATGTTTGTGAAAGAATGGGAGATTTCCTTTACTAAAAACCAACAGTCGTGTACGTAAGAACTACAAACACAGACTAATAACACAGTTTTAAAAAATCCTCACTAGTATGCAAAAACTATAAAAACTTCAGAAGTGGTTCAAATATTTAAACATTCCCTACTGAGCAAGGAAACATGGTTTTGCAGACAGCCACTTCATAGGGGAAGAGCTGAGTAATATCATATTTATTTTTTTAAAAGATGCAACTCCACCAGATTGCAATAAAAAAAGGAGTCACACTGCAGGAAAAGCAACCACTGAGCCACCTGAGGGAATGTCAGGACTCCCCAAAAAATAGTCTTCCCTCTACAGTGTATTCTGTAATACCCAACTCAGGTAACTCTCCCAGCTGTATTTCACCACTGTTTATTAAAAAACCTTGAAGCAGCAAACCTGAACACTTCTTCACAATTCAGGGAAAAAGACACCAAGGAAAGAATTATCCCCACTTTATGTGAAGTGTTGCAGCTGTAGCAATAATGTCTTTCATCCTGCAGCCAGAGCTCATGTGCATCATGATGACCTGACTTGGATGAAGAGAAAATAGGGAAACTGCTGCCTGCCACTGTGATTGCCAGCCATTCCTGTCTTGCACAGCATGGCACATCCAAAGGTACTGCTCTTGGCCTTTTGGACCAGTACAGTACTCACCTCTCCCTTATCACCCTAGGAAAGGTCCTCACTCCTTTAGAGAACCACTGGCCTTTCTACCTCCTAGAAGCCAATCACTAGATGGCAATAAGACTTCACTTTTAAGTCTGGTACTATCAAACAACACAGGGATGTCTCCCCAATCATCTGTACTAGTCAATATTTTAATGGTATAATACCCACTCTGTTCCTGTTTAAGCAAACCTTGGCTGAGCATTTAGGAAGCTGCTGGAAGAAAAGGCAGGTGGTAGAGAATCTTGCTTTATTTGTAGCAATTTATTAAACTTCACATAATCTAATGTAAGAGTCTGAATTCAATGCTGATTTTCTCTGAAAAAAGTCTCTCCTTCCTAAACCTAAAGAAAAGCCCCAACTGTTTGAGATTCCCAGATGCTGGTGCTCAAGGGTCACACTGACAAGCTGAGTGATATTAAGTTCTAGCCAGCAAGGAGTAACTTAAGCCTGAACACCTTAATTCTGGCTCTGGTGAAATATCTGACACTGCACGATGTGCATTTTTCCATCCCCTCTAGAATCAGGAAGAGCATTTAAGCTCTTTCTAAAATGGCATAAGGCTAAGCCTAACAATTCTTGACAGTAGAAGGCCTGTGATTAAGATATGTAAGATGTCATCAACATCTAAAAACAGAAGTTGCAGTGCTCATGCTTTTGAGAGCAACAATTAAAGAAACACAGAAATGTTTCATCTGAACATGATTTTACCAAATATCTTATAGAAAATAGGACACTAGAAGGAGGGAACTGAATAGAGTAAATTGAAAACATTAGTATTTGTTATGGGCAGGAACAATCAGTGGCTGAGAAAAGACTCCCAATTAATTTGAGTTGTGGAAAAAAAAAGCAAATGTTACTAAGTTGTAGTACGTTTAGCAGCTGGTTTTACAAGTTACATTTATTATTTATGTGGACCAAACAAGTCCCAGTGAATACTTGAGATTTTGCTTAATATTTTACACTACCTTGACATAAATATTTGCTGAAAAAGAAAGCAAAACTTTCAAGAAAACAAGTGCTTTCTCTCACTTGGCAATTTGCTTAGTGTGTCACTGCAGCAAAAAGGTACTTACCCCCACTTGCATATTCCATTATTAAATAGAGAGTTTTTTCAGTTTCAATGACTTCAAATAGCTTCACTAGAAAAGAAAGACATTTAGTCATCAGTTAACTAACTGCAGAAGCATTATGTTAACACCCCACAGAATTCTGTGAGAGAAAAATACCCAAACTGTTTGCCTGCCACTATTAGACTATTTACTCTAAAGAAGCTTTCTGTCTAATGTTCCTAAGCAGAAAATACTGTAACGCATTTGGTCAACTCATACAGAACAACATATTCTCAAGAAACAACACTTTGCTTCTTTTACATGGGAACATAACTAAACTAAGCAGAACATGCAGAGATTTGAGCAGCAGCAACAGCCACATATGTGCACTGAACTGAAACACGTGGTGACAAATCAGTTATCAGCCTGCTGACAGTCCCATAGGAGTACCACAGCATTTAAATGTACAAACTCGAAAAAATTCTTGACCACTTCTTGGTTTTGGTGTATATGCTAATTTTTAATGAGAACCTGAATTCAGTCAAAAATGAATACTATACTCAAAAGAAGCAAATTTATCAGTTAGCTATGCAAATAACAGTTCTGTGCAAAGGGAACATTACAATGTTTATTTTATTTTTTTTAAACATACAGTTCTGAAATACCAGTTATTACTGCTGTCTTAGAGTAAATTCACACTCCAGTGCAAAATAATCTTTTAAACTTACACCACAACAATCTTAACAGTGAAAAAGTTAAAACTTCTCCAGAGATGGAAATTATGTGAAAGAAACAAGATACCTATATTTGGATGATTTAAGATCTTCATTATTCTTACTTCTCTAAAGAGCTGAAACAAACATAAAACATGAAATAAGTTAATGAGATCACTAATAAACAGCTGTTCTCCTTAAAGACTGAAGACTTTGATATAGTCATTTAAACACAAAGGGCAAACATTATTAAACATTATCAATGAAGTTCATTAAATAAGCACTTTTGGAGGGGAAGAGTTAAATGTCTGCTTAACACCCCTGCCAAACAAATCAACCCTCAAAAACCTGAAAACACCCAGGAAGAACTCAGACAGCTCAGGAAAGAAGTGACCTTAGCCCTGTGGTTTGCAGACTTTTGGGGTCAGAAGAGCACTGTGAGCCCACATAGCTTCCTGCTGACCAGTACATTTCACACATCTTTCACTTCCTTCACAAGAAGTACAGCTCCAAATTTTTGTGAATGCCCACCAGCTTTAGAAGACCACTGCAGTATGTTACTGGTATGAATTCAGCATTCTTCAGTATTTGGTTAAAGCCCAAGAGTTACTGTGCTACAACAGCGGCTCACAGGTGAAACATCAGCTGTTTATACTTTGCAAAAACCACGTTATCCAACTACACCAGCAAGGAGCAAGTCCTAAGGAGAGAAGGGAAGACGAGGCCAGCCCTCAGCCCTTCAGAAGCATTGCTGCAAGGCCAGTGAGGCACAGCAGTCCTGGGTCTGCCAGCACAGCTCCCTGATCGCTCCCAGACACAGCCTGAAGCCTGCCCGGACACCGCAGCACGCTGAACGTACTCGCCAAAATTAACAGGGCAGAACACAAATGGTGTTTTCCTGACCCCATCGTGCTGCTTCCCTTTCTGCAAGCGCTGCTGTTAACCCTGACTGACACACAAGGTACAGGAATTATTTAACAGCTATATCTCACAAAATGCACAATTTCCCCATACAAAAGCACGCCATCTCTAGCCCACCCCAGCAGGATGGTGGTGAGGGACAACTGCCCACTTCAAGCTGCAGGATGACATTATATCCCCTGCCCTAAATCCACAGATAGAGTACTGATTGGAAGGATATTGTCATGTTTCATGTCCCATCTGTCCCTCCCCAATACTGCCCAATACTCGTGTGAAGAGGGCTTTGCTTGAGTAATTATTTCTGAAGATTTCAAATTTGCCTGTCACACAGAGCAAACTCTGTCCTTCTGCAACTTAATGAAAATATGGAGTGGCATTTAACAAATTAGAAATAAAAGCAAATTCATAACTGAACAGTTGTTAATTATTTTTACCTCTCAAAACTCTTCTGCAAAAGACTGTTGTAAGATACACATAAATTCATAACCGTAGTAGTAAAAATGTCACAGGTGGTGTTACTGCAATATGAAACATTGCTTTGAACAAAGCTGGTAAATAGTAGATTAATTAAAAGCAGTTCCAAGATAAAATATTATTACAAAAAACCATGAAGCACAAATACTCTTGTACTCAGAAAACCAAAGAATTCTCTTTTTATGCACTACACTATATGGCAGTCAGGTGTATGGCTGTTCTCCCTCTGCAGCTCACCCGTGCCAGCCTGAGACTCCAGAGGGCTGATGTTCTTCATGATCAATTATTTTCTAACAGCATGCTTCAGAAAGTGGGAGAAATCAAGAGGTTTTATTAGAAACCTAACACAAATTTCTACAGGAATATCAGTAACCTAACATCATATTGAACTTCATCTAAAGAGACCGAAGCAGAATAAAAGTCCACAGCTCCAAGTGATTGCAGACATAGGAAAAAACCCAGGAGTTTTGTAACTATATATAGGGATAACAGCATTGTTAATTACACTAAGGAAAAAAAAAACTGCTGGAAGATTTGGCTCAGGTCAGATTTCAGATAAAGTGAATAAATTTGGTATGTCTACACATATTAGCAACAACTCAAAAACTTGTAGGTGTATTTACTCAGTAAAAGCAAAGAAAAGGTGAAACTTTGTAATAAAAAAAAAGGTGAAACATTAGAAAAAAACAGAAAACAACAAAAGAGTCAACAAAACAAAACCCTTGTGCCTTTGTGATTTTTAATAAAAGAAAATCCAAGGGGTGGGTTTTAAATAAATCCATAGGACAAATTCACAATTTGGAGACCAGCTGTTCTAGCCATACTCTGCTTTCTGATATTTCAGAATCACAGAATTTCTGCAAATGCCAACATCTGGGGAGCAATCCTCACTGCACTGCCCAGGAGACCCTCTCTCTGCTACAGCACCAGCTGGGATTGGCACACTACCTGAACAGAGAAAAAACAAACAGCTTTCCAAATGCTTTTAATTATCTTGTTATTCAGGTCTGTGCCTGACACTTCGCTAGATGACAAGCTGCTTAAAAGAAATCACGATTGATTGATCAAGTAAATTATTTGCCATGCAAAATAGTTTCAAAACCTCTGTGCACACATTTTCTTTATCCTCTAGAGAGGTAAAATTGCCTTCTTTTCTTTTTTAAACTATGTTATTTCTGGAGCTTTCTCATATGTAATCAGACAGGGTAGACTACATCATCTCTTTCTTGATCATGAGGAATTTAAAAGCAGTTGAATCTATAGCTATTTTTTTCTTGCTTTTCATTCATTTCAGCTAAACTGGTGTATAATATATTCTGAATACTCCATTAATACTTTTAATCACAGCTTATATAACTGAAAGGCTCTTATCAGTTTTTACAATTTCAAAGACAGTTCACTTAATTCACTCTCAGTTGGTATCTGATATCTTCCACCCCCAATACCCAGATAAAGCCTACTGGGTCAGGCCCTCACCAAAACACTGGTCCACAAAATGACTACTCTGCTTTACTAACCCAAATGAAGCATGTCAAGAAGCAGCTTCTATTCATGAGCCATTTGTTCAAGTGGGTGACTAGGAACAAGCTCTTTTAAAAAACTGACTATTTCTGCCTCAGAGGAAATTAAAAATAAAAATACTTGAGAATAGGATACAACCACCACCACACTGTAATTTTAGTTAGATAAATGCACTTTAGATTGTGCACCCTTAGTCAGTTTACCTGTTATATGTCACATTTTGACACAGATGGGGATATCTGGGGAAATAGATATATTTATCTATAAATGCCTGACATTGTAATATATATTACAGTCTATTTCTGATAGAGGAATAAAATGTACAATATCATACAACTTTCCCAAAGTATGCTGGATAAAGGTTTTACAGATTTCATTATGCGCATCAGCTTCTAGGAAATGACGTAGTAACTATCATCACACAATAAAATTAATTGCAAACAGCAGGTATGATAAAACCTGACACCTCTGAGATTCCCTGCCCACAGGAACACAGAACAAGGTGTAATATCAGAAAACGTAACACGAAGGTTCTCAATACAGAAAATTAGTTGCTTAGTATTAGGAAATTACTTGTCATAATGAAACTATAAAGGCAGACAAACAACTGAAAACAGTTCTCATCAGCTTAATTTCTAATACTGAGATTCAAAACTACTCCCAGCCTGTTGAACAGCTCGTTTTCCGTCAACAGGAGCTCTACAAACGTTTCCAGGCAAAGACAAACATCCTTAGTCTGCCAAACAAATGGCTTTCAGCTTTGTTGTGGTCTGGTCCTTTGAGTGTAAGCCATGTCAGATACAGGAAAAGAATGCCATTTAATTAATGCTGTGAGCCAAAAAGCTGAATAAAAAAACCCCAACGAACCAGCAATGGAAGCTGGTTCTTTTAGGCTAATTCTCTTTGAATACAGCTAAAGACAGACTAGAAGTGCTCCCACAGTAGCTATCACAAGACAGTAACAAATTATTTTAAAAATACTGAAAAAGTTTGCTAAAAAGTGAGTCAGTGCCAGCTGTAGAGCACCACCCTCTCCTGGTCTCCTTCTCCCTTTTCACAGGATGTTGTCCCAAGCCAGTTCAAGCCTGACCTGTGTATTAGGCTTCTCCTGGTAACTGCTCACTGAAATATGCCCTACATCTAATAAAGAGCCTCAGGCAAAAAGCCTTTGCACAATGCAAGTTTGCCTCAAACTAAGCACAACTTGGAAACAGAAAGGGATACTCATTACAAACAGAAGAGCCTGAGCATTTAAAGTTCTCATCCTTTTCTTGCAGTTCTTAAAACACTGATTGACTCATGGTCAGAAAGGACATGATCCACGTTAAAACTGATGTTTAAGAAAACTTAAATGCTTTAACAATAAGTATTGCCCAAGTAAGTGGCAAAACATCTGCACATAATGAACAAAAATATTTGGCTGAGGAGCCAAGTTCTAAAACAGGAAAATGAGAAGTGATTTAGTGCTATTACACGAGCTTGATAAAGAAAACCCTTGCATATAATGGCGTTGGTAAATCAAAAGAAAAAAACTCTCAAACTATTTTATTTTTTGTCTAGGAGGAAGTGAACTCTGTAGCATCAGCACTTGTTTGCAGTGAGACCAATATCCACTGGAATTGCACACACAAGTCCATTTGTGGAGAGCAGTGACTATGACTAACACCGCCAGCATGGGAAAAAACCTCTAAGAATTCCCTTTTCTTTCAAAGCAGGGAAGTACCAGTTGCAGCTTCCTCTTCACTAAGCAAGAGCAGCAGAGCAGTAATTAGGTTCTAAAACAACAGTAAAGAGTAAAGAGTAGCTGCATGTGGCTGCCACAGAACTTCCTCAGCAGCAGAGAAGAAACCCGACCCTTCAGAGCTGAGTGTCAGTATGGAGCTGTCAGGGCTGCAGCGAGGGCATACCAAGAATTACTGCTCTGGAAAGCAAAGCAAATCCTTAACAAGGTTAACTTCTTCCTGGCAGCTGAAGTATCGATGTGGAAGATGGAACACAAAGAAATCAGAACTGGCAGCCTTTAATCACCATTTGTTTCCCCACCTAAGGATGACTCTGGCATGCAGCTACACCGCAGCTGAGATGCTGCACACCACACCCTCTTCTGGGCACAGCCCTTCCCTCCCCACCATACCTCAAATATTTTATCTCTCTCTCCAGAAGTGCAAGATCAGAAGCACTTCCATCTTAGCTTCCCCTGCATCCACAGGTCGTGTGGGCAGTCGGCTCCAGAGGCACCGAGGCTGCGGCACTGCCGCGGGAAAGGGGCAAAGGCTTGCAACGTAAAAAGCCTGGGTCAGGTAAAGCTGGCAAGGTGTATGTTGTGCATTCACTCTGCTTCCTATGGCAAGCAGGAATTTAATTTTAATAAAACTGCTTTCAGTTTTTGAATTGAAAAGTGATACACCTTACTAAATTCTTTTTGTGCTCGTGTAACAAATGAGCTTAGAGAGGAGAGCACGTTAGCAATTTCACTCCATAAATTCAATCTGATACCTGCCCTGCTATTTGGTACTATTCTTCCAGACTCCCAGCTCAGAAATCCAGTGGCACACAAGATCACACTACAAATCACACTTCATAATCTAATTTTATAAGCTGTACATAAAAATTAAATTACAACAGAGATGGAAATGACACTGCTGCAAGTGGACACTGAGCCAGCTGAAACCCAGTAATCAAAGGCCTATCATGCACACTTCCAGCTTGTAGCTTTTCCAGCTGAACACCTGTGACTTGTAAAAGGTTTGTATTGTATCCCCATATGAGCTCAAACTGGCATTAGAGCCCAGTCTCAAGTAACACCATTAGAAGGACTATGATTTTACATTTTTAACTGAAAACATGGCCTCTTTACTTCTCTCTGACCATTCTTCCCACACCCTGATATTTCCCATTTTTATCACACAGCTTTTGTTTCACTTTCAAGTGCTTCAAGCATTCAACCATTTTTATTTAGGCGTTTCAAGTTGCAATCTGCCACAGAAATCAACTTTATCTAATCAATTATATTACCTAATTTGCACTTTATTTTCACCCTGCTTACCCAGAAACCACCAATAACCTCAGGGACTAAACTGAGAAAAATTCTGAGAAAAATGGAACCAGATTATCTACTTTTACCCTGTCTACAGAGTCATACAAAGCTGCCACCTGCTCAGATGACGGAGCCTTTCTTCTACAGGTTATTCTTTGCCTCCCAATGAAACCATAAAATGTAAGAACTTGTGTGTTTTTCCAATTTATTTTTGTACCATTAATCCTGATAAAGTCTAGTCAAGTGATCTTTTTAGTATTTGCATAAAATACAAATGTGTATATTCTCCAGTTTACTGTAGTTACTCTCTTTCATTTTGTTTGCAGGTAAATTCTGCATATTCTCTTGTTCAAACAGAAATATTTCAAGGGGGTTTTTATCAAAGTACTCAAAAGTAAACAAAAAGCCTTTGACTGCAGAACTTAAAAGGACAGAGTTAGAGAGGTCCCAAGTAAAAGTAACATTTAAATGTACTTCCTGCATGGACTCCCAAACAGACTGGGTTGCTTAATGAAAGAGCAGGGTTTATCACTCTGTACTAAAAAGATAAGGTGATACAACTGTAACAGCTCATTAAACATTCAGAGCTAGAGGGAAGAAACCAGAATAGACATGGCCCAATTTGTTTCATACAACTGCATCACCTCTCCTGCTGCAAGCCACATGAAAGGCACAGATCCTGCCTGGCCTTCAGTCCACAGGCAGTATTTTCAAGGCCAGTTTAAGAGGACAGAACATAAGTTTTGCATTTCTAAGTTTAACAAAGCAACCGGCACAAAGGAGACATGGGGGCATGACACCAAACCACAGACGTCCTCTCTACAGTCAGCTCTGCTTGGAACACAAAGGAAGTGGCAAATACCTCTGTTTTCTCAGTTTACAGCTCTGTAAGAGTTCAGCTTGAACAACTGCAGCGTTGTCAGAAATATCTGTTGCAAAACCAGTTATTAAATACAGTAGTCAGATGTGTGCAAAGGTATGCAATGCTTCAGATTCTCCAGCACAGGCATTCAGGGTTAATGGAAGGAGGTGGGGAAGAGAACAAGTTATAATACAGTTGAAAGATTAAATGTAAAAACATACCTTTTGTAGACTAGTTGGGTTCAGCTGTGTTTTGTCAATTATTTTTATGGCAACCTAAAGGAAGAGTTCATGATCAGTATTTTCCATAGGAACAATACCATGTTATTACAACATGCTCAAATCCAGTAACAGACATGGAAAACATGAAAATTACACAAAAAACGCTTAAGTTCCTTCTGCAAATTATGTACATGTATTTAAACTAGAAGCAGGAATGGAAAAACCCTGGTATTTTAAGGATATTAAGATGAGAAGCTTGCTGAGTCTTTGACTTGACATTAAGACCATCACAGTCATGACAGTGGAAGCTCCAACAGCAAACAGTGCCCTGATAGAGAGCAGCGTGCCTACAGATAATATTTACACAGTATAATTACACAACAGATTACACAGTAGTGACTGGGCATTGGCAGTTTCTAAAAGCAGAGATTTCAGAGCATATTGAAAGCATTTCCACACAAATTTGGCAAGAAGTAAATTCATCTTTGGAAATTTACTAAATATTTGTGTCAATTTGCTCCCTGATGGGTATTAAAAAAAGTATCACTTGGAAATCAACAAAAACACGTTGGCAGTAGTACAACACTTAGGGTAAGTACATTCCTTTACTTGTTCTCCTCTTTTCAGTAAATGTTGCACAGAAATATTAAAGAACAAAATTAAAAAATTCACACAATAAGCAGAAGAGAAATTCCATACCATGCTAACTAGTCAGAACCTAAAGATCTGAAGCAATGAATAGGCAACAGAAAGTTCAGTGCAATGCAGTTTGGATACTGGATGAGGTAGAACAAGAAATGAGAAACTTTCTAGAATTACACGCCAATTGGTATTTTTCCTCTCTAAATTAGAGACTAAACATACCAGAAGAAGCTCTACAGAAGGAGATGGTGCCTCTCAAAGAGGCAAGATGCTGCAACTCAGCTGATTATAAGACCTCACTGGTGCAAAGAAAGGCTTTCAACTCCACTTCAATTTTTGGCTCAAACAGTAGATGCTGCTCCTTCCCATGCCACAGCTCCCGTTTCCCTGCATCACTCTGAGCTATCTTTGTCACCTCATTAACTTGGGGTTGGTGACATATGGAATAAAGAATATCTTACATCAAAGCCAATTTATATCCCTACATTCAAGTGTAAAAACACAGGGATGGATTGTCACGATGGAGAGGGTAAGAGGGGAACAGTGCTCAACGCTTGGGTGCATCACAGAATTATATAATGGATATGGTGTTTTCTGAAACTGATATTCAAGACTTATTTTGAGCTCTTCTAGCTGCAAGATATGATGAGACATGACTGAGAAGCCATCTAAGAATCCTTTTACTCTGGGGAGTGTTTTCTTCTAAGGCAAGCTACTGAAATTATAGATCATTATTTCCCGAGGCAAAATTCCATTGCAAAACCTTGAGAAATCACTTCAAAAATACAAACAAGAGAGAAAGACATTAAGCAATAGGTATTTTTATATTAGCAGCTGTGTACGAAACCAAGAAAGATTTTTATCTCCACCTTTATGCCTGTTGTTAACTTTGTCACAATAGTTCAAAGTTACTGGCTTCCTGCAATTTCTTAAAATTCTGGATTATGATGCTGGACTCTTATAATGCTGGATTGTAGTGAGCACTGCCTTTGTCAACAGCAGATAATGTTATTTGAAAGTGACCTGGTGCCCCAAGACTACCCAGAGCTGTTCACTTAGTAAGCACATTCCACTCAGAAAAGTTTGCATTTTCCTTCTGGGCTGTACCATTCTGGTGAATCTTTAAAAGATGTAAACTTTTTCAACCCACCAAGTCTTAAGGTACCACATTACTGCAAAACCAGATCACCTCAGCATGCACTTGGTGCCAGGTCACCAGAAAGGTCTCTGACACTGTCAAACAAATTCAGCCCTGGAGATACAGGGAAGGTACAGACCTCAGTTTTCCAGAAGACAGACTCTCAGGCTTGTTCAGTACACTAATTATAGCCTTAAAGGCAGGATGCATTTAGAGAATTCCTATCCACGTGAACACTGAGAGTACAATGTGTTAACATGGGCTGTGAGAGCTTGAACCCATCATCAGAACAGGGAACAACCTCAGGTGCCTTGATAAGGTCTCCAAATCACATGCAAAGGCAGCCTGCCCTCAAGAGTAATTCTGACAAGGCTGGGAAAGTTAAATGGAGAATCTTCTAGTACAGTTAATACAACATTAAATTGCCTTTTAAAGCAGAAATTCTGCTCTCTTTACATAAAGTGCATTTGGAATGGTTTAATGTACTGTGAGCTAGGGCCAGTGCTGGAAAAATGCAAGTCCACCTACACTATTACACCACTGCCATGATATTCTGTGTGAAATTGTTAATAGAATTAAAACTGAGTTTGCTTCCACCATTCACAATAATGTGACTTAAAACATTCCTCCTGCATTATTTGAATAAGGGAGTTAAAGAAATCAGAAGTTGGGACACTGAGCAAATTGGCGAAACTGCTACTATTCAGAATGCTTTCTCCCTCTTAAACTTCACTTTTTCCAAGAGAAGAACAGAAAAAAGATGACAATAGATTCCTTGGAGTCAGACTTGGGTTCTGAAAGAATTCAGCCTCACTGGGAAACTTCAGCTCCCTGGCTATTAACTGAACACATCTTTAAAGAACAGAAGGGTCCATAATAATTTTGGCCACCTCAGTAATAGCAGAAGGTAGTTTTATCTTTTAGATTCACTTTGGCAAGTACGGAAAACTTGTCAGAGGAAACACCCTTTGATAAAACTACAACAGAAAATACATGGATTGCAGTCAAAGAATTAAGAAAAGCAGATTGACAATGAAGACTTGTGGCTTCAAAAGGCCAGACAGCCTACAAATAACACTCTCCTAGGCAGAGGACCAAGAAGGACGGTGTGTCCAAGCACCAGCTCTAATGCAGTGAAGCTAATCTCTGACAATTCAACCGCCTCACATTAGGGTGATGTTCTGATCATCCCCTGAAGGCCTAAACATTTCTTCCTTTCAGTGAATTGAAGATGGGCACTCATCATGCATCCTGCAGACGCACTAAAAATGGAAATGAAAAGGAGTCCTAGAACTTACTCCAGCTGGAAACACGAAATCTTCATCTCAAGCAGCAGGAAAATTCCCAGGGAAGGACTCCAGATGCAAGGAGATGAACAACTACCCTAAAAGAATGCTTAAACAAACATATCCTCCTCCCAGAAGTGTCAGAAAAGTGCTGATCTGCTTCAGGATTTGGAAGCTCCTCAGCACAGATATAAAGAAGGAATTGCCAAAAAGTGAACCTGACATGGTCACTTAAAAGGACATTCAGAACAGAAACACAGATAACAAGGAAAAGATAAGTGGGGTTCAAATACAGCAAGAACATAGCAGAGATGAAAACTCCATTAAGTGTAACTCCCAAAACTAAGCATTTAGTTTAGGTTTTGGTACATAAGATGGAAAAAAGAACAGGAACAAAGACAGGACAGGCTGCAGGAGAAAGAGTGTAAAGCAGGAAATCACAAATTCAGAAAGCTAAGTGCCATCTGGCTGAGCCAGGCTGAGAAAATGACCCTGGAATTCTTACAAGAAGCAGATTTTCAAAGCAGAAAGAAAAAAAAGCATTCTTGCAGCACAGGTTCCTAGCATCTACCAAGAACAGAACAGCAGAGCAGGGTTTAGAATGAGCAGACAATTTTTTTTTTTTTCCAATTCATCATAAAATTCCTGAACTCGAAACTGGCAGGGAAAAACCAAGGAAAGAGAAGGTTTAAAGGCAACGTATTTTCCTACAGTTAACTGTACCCTATGAAAACACACAAGATGACTACCTGGACTAATGAAAAGCCTCATTTCCATGAAGAGGCTGCATGGAAATTTTTCAACTAGATAAGCTGAAAAGTGCACAGAATTGTTTCTATTTTTTTCCTAAAAAAAAAAAGAGGCTAAAGAGATATTAAGTTGGAAATAAATGAATAAGTTTTTCAAGGACAAGATTTTGGGACCAATCTTGTTTAATATCTGTATCAGTGGCCTTGGCAGAGGATGTCAAACCATAATGATTAAGTCTGTTGAACGAGTTAACAGGTGCCATCAAACACAATGGAAAACTGATTTAAACAGCCTTGGAGATGAGTTAGCAATGAAACTGAGATTCAACATACAAGGTTGGTGCTGTTGCTGATCACAGGCAAAACACATCAATTTAACAGTCACGAGAAAGGCTAGCACAATCTGAAGATTGATCAGATAAATACTTCTGTAAGGGCAAGGGTGAAGTAATGACATTGGGGAAATTGCTATCCAGAATATTGGAAACAATTCTGGTCACAGGCATCTGAAACTATCAACATTGTACAGTTTATCCACCAAGCAGAGAAATTTTACTCATCTCCCTCTTAAGAAAAAACCACAGTTTTAAATATCTTGAAGATATTCCAATAAAATTAGCTTAATTGTTCCCTTCTAAGAAATGACACTCATTCCAATGGTCACAACCCAGAAACTATGTATGCTCTGAATTGATCAAAACACATCAATTCCGTGAGAGTGGAAGAAACTTAGCACTCAAACCTTTCCAAATTTAGCCAAAAATTTTACACTGTCCCCTTTATTTGTTGAAATTTCAAACAAAAATAATGAACCAGAGGTCAACACAGTTATCTGCAAGTAAAGGAAAATGTACTTCACTTTTTGCAAAGTGTGACACATATCTATCTCCAAGTTCTATACCTATAATAAGAGCAAAGAGATACTAACCAAGTGCTTGCATATCCCATCTTAAGTATCAGTAAAAAGAGGAGGGAACTTAAGTGGAAAGGTATTAATCAAAACCTTTCTCTACAAATGAGAACTAACTAACATCAGAAGACAATAGGAACTGTCAGCCAAAAAAAAAAAATCTATCTCAACAGCTCTTGCAAAATGATGTCCTCTCTCTTCTTCCCTCTGTTCCTGCTACTGAACCCTGTATTAGCTCAGAAAAGAGAAATTCCCTTAAAGCTCTGCGGTCAGCAACACAGCTTCTGTAAAAGTCCTTGCTGGTATCAGCAAACATCTACTTCATCAGACAGGTTTGGCAAGAAAAGGTTAGCAAGGTGCTTCTCCTTCCTTCAGTACTTCTTGAGTTGCTTTTAATAAAACAGCACCAATAAACACCTTCTTGTAACAAGCAGACAGGACTACAGCTCACCAAATCAGAACCACCATTAAGTGCAAGCGATTAATTGCATTGCAATGGCATGCAGAAACTGAAAACAGAGCTGAGTTCAACTCCAAGAAGAGCTGAGAAAGAGAAAGCTGGTCTATACTGAACACACTGAGCAAACTGTCACTGACACAGACTATCCCTGAAGAAACTGAAGCATCCTCCCAGAGCCACCCAGCCCTGCAGACACCCTGGAATGATCCATCCTAGGATTCCTGGGAGATACATGGCTCTGACAAGAAACTGGACTGCAATTGGACCATTTGGAACATAATTAAAACAACAGTTCTCATGCCCGAGTTCTCCTCCAATACATCCCTGCAGTATAAGAGACACTAAAAGGCAGTCCTTCCAACAAGCTTATTTAATTGCTGTATATTGAGCTGGTTTTTGAAAATGGAGGATTTATCCAAGAATATTAGAAACAATTTTTAACATAATTCAGATGGACAGAGACTCACCAAAAATACAAGTTTAAGAAACCATTTCCAAGAGAAATTGTTTTGTAATCGTTACTAAAAAAATAGTTTTGAGTTTTTGCTTTTTTCTACATCAGTGGCAATATCTCTAGTAAAATGTGCTCTGTGTTCACCAACTTAGATGATGCTATTCCAAGAGAACCTTCACACCTACAGCAACTCACTGCTGTTTACACCCATAACACTTTACCTCTCTGCCAGTTAGGATGTGCCTTGCCAGCTTCACTTTTGCAAAATTCCCCTTTCCAATCGTTTTAAGGAGTCTGTAATTTCCAATATGTGGCTGCTCATCAGCACAGGAGGCTATGGAGTTCCTGCAGCGAGCTCCAGAGCGCCCAGTCCGAGAGGAAACTTCCTGCCGTCCGTCTCCATGGGACGTGTGCTGCAACACAAACACACACGGTGAGGCTGAGGAATACACACAAAACACATCAGTGATGAGAAGCATACAACATCCAAAAACAATGTCTTTGAAGAACCCTTCAAAGGATCCAACTGAAAGTTCACGCTCACCATGAACTTTGTTCTGATGGGGGCAATAAAGTGGTGCCCAGTTCATGACACAGTATTCACCTCACCAGCTGGTCAAGACAGTGGAACATCACCTGCACTGCAGCAACAGCTGAGCATTTAAGTAACTTACATGGACTGCCAGATCAGGTACAAAATATAGAGGTGTTTAACATTATTTCCCATTTGCACTACTTTGCATAACTAGTGCAGGAAAGCCTTTGGAAAGGAAACATGAATACAGATTTTCCAAGATCACAAACTGTTAACCCTTATTGGACAACTTATACTAATTTAAAAAAAGGGGTTTTTTTTCTTTCCTGTGGTCCTACAGATCCACATGACTGAAAACACCCAGGATGACCTGGAGAACAAGGAAATTAATCTTACCTAATATACTGAAACCTTGAATATTGATAAGCTGAAAGCCAGTTACAGAGATCTGAGACACTGCCTGCAATCTTTCAAGTTCCTTTCACTCTCATTTCCCTGAACAGCTACTGATTACAAAAAGGAATGGTTATATATTATCTATAACAGTCTTTACTCATTAGATTACATGGTTAAGATTTAAGTATTTTTTTCACTTCCTGATAGCCTGTTTACGAAAGAGCAGGTGCCCTCTTACATTCTTAAATCATGGTTGAGGTCCATACACCAACCACACTCATTAAAGTATTAGTTAGAAATGTTTAGGGGCCTCCAAATGTGGAACAAATATCTGGCTCCACCAAAGATGACACATTAAATTCATAGTCATCCCAGAAACTCCAGATCTTGCTCTTCTACTACTACTCCTCTTGCTGAAACCCATTTGGGACAACCAAGAAACTGGCATACAATAACATTCAGTCTGCAAATCACTGTAGTGTGAGGATGAGATCATACCTCAAGAGCTAACAACCATGATACAGGCACAAATGAACAAATCCGTGCTTGCATGACACTTGGCAAGTTTCACTTGCCTGATGTAACCCTGTGACCATATACTTGGTCATCACATCTTGTGTTCCTTGATTTGTTAATTTGAGTGCAACTGTTGTGATCAGATTATTGTTAAAAACACTTTAAGAAATGCTACTGATAGCACTCTATGGCAACTACTGGAAAATTGTTTCAATAGTTACCATTTTAAAAAACACACAATGCTTTAGTATCAAACTGGCTTTAGCTTCTCCTTACTGCCCAGCTACTGCATTGCCACAAGATTTGTACTTCCCATAGAGGTACTTCATTTCTCTGATCACAACACCCTTCCACTTCAGTAAGTTATCTGTATATTGAGCTTCCTAAACAGGCTGCTGTACGAATGATTAAAGACAAGGAAACATTTCCTATACTTCTGTTGAGAACCCTCCTCTGTTCTTCCAACATCTTTTCTGTTCATGGTAGACATGGACCCACCATACCAAGAGTAGGTGCAGCAGGACTAAACACAGAGGCTGCATCTTCTGTTCAACACCCCACTGATTTCACAGGGGCAGAACTAACCCTCTTTGAAGAAGACCATCTGTACCTGACCACCCAACACCAACCCTGATTTACTGCTTCTCATTCCTGGATCCTTACATGCATGATCACATTTGGCTGAAGTGAAATGCAAAGTTTCTTTACATGCAGAATATCAAGTGCTCTTAAGAGTGGCCCATCCTGCCCTATTTTCATAGTCTAGCAATTTTAGCACAGTTTTCAGGAGCAAGAGTACACATGTTTTCCAAACCACTAATAACTGGCACAAGAACAAGAAGCACATCCATAACAATATCCAGTAAAAATCAAGGCTTAATAATAATTCAGTGTTCTCAATAATATCTCGAGATCTGCAACAACTGGGTGCTTATCAATCAGTAATTCTCAAGGAGAGGAAGGACAAGCAGTCAACAATTGAAGGACCTACTAAAGCCAGTGAAACCCTGTATTAACAATTTCAGTATTTTGCATGCCTTTAATGTCAGGCTGGTGCTGATTGTTCAGGCCATCTTAGCCATCCCTGGGGGTTCTGGCACAGCAATTCCAATCCTCTGTATTTCCCTAAACTTTGACTTCTAACAAACCTTGCAACACACAATGCAGAGAACTTCTCTGTCAGCTCCTTTCATACCTTTCAGTGTCAAATTATTCAGACCAGCTAGAAAAAAGCAGCAACTGCTGATTCTAGGTGCTAACATCCTCCTACATTGCTGCCCCTGGTGATCAGGGACCAGGATGTTCTGTACAGGGCCACGAGGATATTTCTTGGATATATTAGAGGAAGGTTCATTTCAGTTCAAGTACAGCATCCCAGGAATACAACTGTACTACTTACACTGCACTTCACTGAGCTGATAACTTTCCTCAGAAAGAGAAGTGTATCAGAACTATTTAAACTATAGCCCTTCCACACCTGGGCACTCAGCACAAGCTGGCTTCAGCAGGAGCCAGACTGCCTCTCAGCAGGGCTTGTTAGCTTAGGCTCTCCAGCAGACAGATTCAACAACTTGAATTCAACAGCTTTTGAACCACACAGCTGACTCTGAAAACACAGTAGTTGTGCTGCCCTGTGCTGGAACTAAAACACTGTTAGTCCTGAGCTAGCCTAAGAAGCAGCTGAGATGTGGGCATCAGGCACGACGTATTCACAAGCCAGAAAACAGGTTAGCCAAAAGGGATCTAACTCATATCCTACTTCACATAAGCACTATCAGGAAAAAGAAAGATTCTGTTATACTAACAAACTCCATTCCACATAGTAAACCACCCAGTAATTGTGTCTCGAGAGCTTCACTGTCCTCTTGTTGAGAAAATGACTTCTTGTGTCCTATAATTTTTTCACGCTTCCCAGCTTTGCATTTAAAGGGAGCATGAAAAACTGTGAACTCACTTGGACTACGGTTGACAAACTGAACACAATCTCCTTGTATGGAGGTTTGCATTTCCACTCCAACCCAGATTATTTCTTTTCAAGAATATGACCTTTTTCAGCTGTGGGTTTTAAGTATCAAGCTGTGTGTTCCTAAGCAGTTCGGTTCTCTCCAACTGATTTGCTCAAAGCCGTGTTTTCCTCTGTAGAAATCCAGCCATTTGCAACCATATCTAATTTGGACTATATTCCACTTCACATAAATAAATCTATCAGCAAGTCCTTCCTCTGTCAGTTACATTATTACACTGAACAGACAACAAGCTTTCTAAAAACCAAAGAAAACAGATTGTCCATTTCAACATGGATTTTCTTTTGCATATGGAAATGAAAAGCATAAACTCAAAACTGAGCGAAAGTGTTTCTCCCAGCCTAGTCATTTTCAAGAAGCCGTGATAGGCAGATGGAAAGCTAAATGGTGTAGGCAAAAAGCAAAATATAGGTGGTCCAACAAAAGCTCAAATCATGCATTGGCTTGTACAGCATCTGGCTGTGCTCAAGTACTTCCCAGGGCAGTTTCCTCAGCAAACAGGTTAACAGCGCCAATCTCAGCCCAGAGAAATGGCAATAGCATCCTCTGCTCTCCAAATTGAGATGAATGCCATTTGTCTTTTCCCTCAAATCTCCAGATTTTGCCTTCCTCACTATACTGACCCCCCAAAACTGTTCAATTTCAGGCTTCATTTCCAGGTCCGCAGTTATATGGTTTCAAGAAGACAGAGGTTTTATCTTAAATACATAAAATTTAAAATCAGCATGTGTTCATTTGTAGTAAGTTTCCATACATTGTGGTAGGTGAGTTGTATTTCCTGGAGGTGTTTTCGTGTAAGGATAACACTTGCTAATGAACTCACCAGGGCCGAGTGATTCCCAAAATACAGGTGGTAAAGCAAGATCATTACACTGTAGAGGGAAACTGAGGCAAGGAGATGGGGTGCTTTGTGAAACTTCAGGTTTGCCAGTCACCACCTCTTTTAAAAAAAAATTTCCTGAAATCCACTCATCACAACAAAGCACTTTCTTCCATATCTTGGCATGCATCAGGTTGCATTTAAAAATCTTTTAAATACTTTAAACATTAGTTCTTTTTTTGCACCATCCATTTAACAGGACAGCCTTTGTCACTAAAAAAACCACCCAAAACAAAACATTCTCCTCCTCCCCTCAGCCCCACCCTATTATTACTCAACCCAAAAGGAAATGAAGTAAAACATCTCCATTTGTGAGAGACCTTACTGCAAGGGAGGGACTGAACCCAAGACCAACTACATTTGGAACACAACACAAAACCCACCTTTTCGCAAAAGCCTTCCCCCAATGATGAGCCGACATCCTTTCATAGCCAGATAATGATTAGCATGAAGAGAAAGAAAAAAGAAAAGGAAAAAAAGTAAAAAGCAAATGAAGTATGAGAGTGTCAACAACTGAAATCTTTTGGTAGATGTTAGTTTTATCCAGTATCTGTATGGTTTCATATATCTTAACATTCAGAGAGTTAGAAACACACAGGGCAGGGATGACTAGTATCCAAGTTCTTGAACTGCTTAAGAACGTGCCAAAAGTTGAGGAAAAAACCTGAAAGGAACAGAATCTGATATCCATTCAAAGAGCTGAAAAACAGTTAGAAATCAGAATGTCCAAGACCTGCAAAAATCCACGTTCAATTACAGTTAATAGGAAACTCTGAAATGTGGGTGACAAATGGCATCAACTTTTTAGGAGTATTTATTTAATTAAATAGTGAGAACTAGCTTAACATCAGAAAAAATGAACTAATAAAATTTAATCTTACTAAAGTCTCCAGGAATGTTTATTACCGTAGCTGTTACCTCACCTCTGCATGAAATACTACAAAGTGATATTATAGAATTTCTTGGAAAGCTGTCAGACAAGTAACAATCATGACAGCCTCATTTCATTCAGCTTTTTAAATTGTAATAAGAAAAAACCTGTACCTAAAGCCTGTACCTTATAATGTTAATAATGCAAGCATTCCAGGACAGGAATATTTGAGACACTAAATTACTTCATTACCTTAACCTGGGCACACAATATATAAATAAATAGCAATTTCTGGCTGTGCACTTCCCACTAGCACTCTCATTTACAGAAAATCTTAACAGGAAACATACCATAGTTTGTTTGTTTTTTAAAAAAAACTCAAAAATATTTTAAATCAAACATGCAAAGACAAAATTTCACTGCAGCCCTTCCCAACAATGTGTTGTATTTTATTTCCTATTCTCATTAACATCTTTAAGAACACACAGACTGCAGAGTACTACTCAGTGTAAGAGCAAAAAGGTAGCCCTTAGGATATGCACAGAGGCAGCATCTTACTGAGCACAGATATTCCTAAAACAGCACAGCAGGGCATCCTGCAACTGCTGACGAAGGAATTCTACTGGAAAGTCAAAACACAGACTTACGTTTCTGGCAGCCACCAAAGGGTGTCACAGCAAACACTCAACCACAATTGTTTATATACCAGTTATTGCTCTGGGATTCCCTAAATCATCATGTATTACAAGATATGATATTATTTTCCTAGATTGTAAAACAGAAATGCATCAGGTGAAGACGTCCTGTACTTGTCTTGATTTTACTCCCTTCCCACCAGTGACCAAGGCACAAATCAGGATATGGAGTGAGGTGGGTTTTGTCAGACCCAGTATGCATATGTTGATGTTTGCGTAACCAATTATTTGGTTCCAACACATATAATTAAAAGGCCATTTTTAGACTAGCTCGCTCCATAATCAGTCTTAAGGGTAAACAGTCATGGCTTCCATCTCACAAAATTTTAAAGGGTCTCCTAAGAAGAAAAATGCTATCCACCTAAAGTGGCACTGAAGTTATCAACCCATGAGTTATCAAACCCACTGAAGTTATCAACCCATTTATTCACTGATGTAGGCTACAGCCCAGCCATTATGGAAGTTGTGATCGAGTGGAACAACTGAAAGGGTCAGAATTCATCAAGGGAGACAAGCAGACCTTCTAGAAATATAATATAGATGTTAAGGGAGAGAAAACACTAATTGGGATGCTTCCATTGTCAAAAGGGGAAGATTTCACTGCACAGTTCTCAGCCTGTCACAGTGTTCATTCATGTAATTGGTATGACATTCATGAAAACGAGTGGCTCTTTTAATTAGGTCAGATCTGTCAAACCATCGGATTAAAGGGGGAACCTGGAGAGTAAACAGCCTTTAGCACATGGAAGCTATACCTCTGACACACATTCCTAATTCGTCCACACCTCAGTGGGGAAGGCAAAATAAAAGAAAAAAGCCAGGAGTAACGCTCAGGACACAGCAGATCCAGCTCAAAGTGAGCACAGCGATGGAACAGCCTACCCTGGGCAGCCTGATGGAGGGGGACAGTAGGGACACAGGACACTTTCACCTGGCAGAGGAAACACTGCTACCCAAAGCAACACTCGCACACTCCTAATTCTGGCTACTGACCAGCAGTGGGAATTGCAGTAGGAATTGCTAGTGACAAGTGCAGCAGTGCCTTGAAGACCAGAGTGGGGAAGTGCTGACAGCAAAGCACTAAGAGTCCTCAGCAAAGGCAGGATGCTCCCCCCACAGACATACAGGATCTGGCTCAGGAGTCCTCCCATGCAAAACCACTACAGCCTCTGAGATGTGTTTGGCAGTATTTGGTTCATGCTCTATACAGCATATGAAAGAGAGTGAATCTGTAATTCCATGATTAGCACTGAACAACACAACAGTGAAGAAATCCTGCTTATATAATCAAAAAGATAAGTCTGGTGCCTGTTAGAAAAGCTCTTTAAAAGCTCTTTTGTTGCTTCACATTATCAAGATCTGACATTCATCATATCTTTCCAGCCAAAGTTCCTTTACTGCTGATTAAAATGGATATTTATTGACATCAGCCTGGGGAATAATAGCTAAAGAGCCAACCATATTCTATTCTTCATCAACAATACTGCCAACTAAGTTGTTTCCAGAATCATCACTGTCAGTAATTACATGCTAAACAAAAAAGAAAAAAACCCAACCACCTCACAGTTGGTTTTCAAAAACCACATTGAGCTTGCAGATAGAAAGCTTTGCTTAGGCTTTAACCCTGCAGGAACAAATTTGATTTGAAAGTCAATTTCTGTTTATATGTATATACACACATATTGAGCTCAGCAACTTGCTGCTTTATGGAGCAAGAATTCCTCCTAACCCAAGGGTTTCTTCCTCATCACAGGTGTTACTCAGTATCTTTCAGGTTTATGTTTTAAGAGCAGTACGCACCTATTTATCATATGGTCTAAAGAATTTTAGTGGCAGATGATCTCCACACTAAGCAGAGCCAACCTTGATATGCCATGAGCCTAAAAAAAAAAGTGACCTCCATTTTTGATCTGGCTGACACCCATGAGGCAGCATTACTTGACTGAGGAGAAGAGGAAGTTGCAGACACATGCTACTTATATATCATATGAAATGGAGATTGGGAGAGACAAATGCCTCCACTCTCTGAATTCCTTTGACTTGAGTCACCTGAGACATGTTGTCAACAGGAACTGTCCGCTTACATCAACATGAATATATCTTTTGGCTACAACTAAAATGGAGAATCAAGCAGGTAAGGACACCAGGTGAGTGGGTAACAAAAGCTAGGAAGACTGTGAAGTTCAGTGTACTAAATACTGTATTGACTCTCATTTATTTTCTTTCAGCAATTCCTGTAGTTGTATTCTGTTTTTCAGACTGCTACTTCTACGCCTGCAATATAAGCCACATTTGGTGGTGCCAACAAATTAAGTCTAACTATGTAACATTTTCTGGAGTAAGGTTCTGCAACTTAGTTTTTCTGAGTTATTGAAATAATGTAAGAAAGGGGAAAAAAAAAGTTTATTTCCAGGAATAAACCATTCCAAATTACACTGTGGTAAATATGTATCTGTTTGCAGCTGGGACACAACTCAAGTTGCCCTAGGGTGCTGAGCTATGACTGGCTTAATTCAAACCAAAACAAAACCACTAGAAAGCATTTCTAACCTTCCCCACCAGCACTGGACATTCTGTTTACAGCCACAGAATGGGGATAACTGCACTTTTCCTAAGGGTTTCTAGCAGTCGGATCAGAGCTGACCAGACTCATCTCACACCCGCGATAATCAGTGCTGGCACAGAGCGCGGGTGGGAAGGGGCACCCGGGGCTGCTGCCCCCAGCAGCCTCCCATCAGGCGAGCTGACTGAAAGCAACTGATTCAACACCACAGCCCAGGCTGCTCAGCACAGCTGAGAATTAAATGTCTCACTGTAAAAATGTGAAAATACTAGCAGCTGATGACTCGCAATGTCATGCAGCCTCACCAGGTATTTTCTGAGGACACAATACCAGGCCCATCAGGCATCAGCATTTTCTTCTGCTCTGAGGAATTTTAGCACTAAAAAATACATGCCAGGTGAATTCCTAAAATATTTTTTATTTCTAGTTATTTTGCCATCTTTTCCCAATTTAATTCAGACCAGAACATTTATTACAACTGGTGAAAAATATGGAATAGTGTAGATGACCCTGTAGAAGAAAATCTGTCAGAAGTCTTGGCCGCAGGAACACTTCCCTCCTCAGTCCCTTTTTAAAAAAAAACCCACAGGATTTCATGCTACGGAAGAAAGCATTCAAATTACAGAACTATCTGTAATAGGAGAAGACTGATAAATAATATATAGAACAATGCAAGCTTGCATATTGTCTGCAAATGCTCTAATGCATTTCATAGTTAATTGGTAAGAAACCAAGACATACTGCACTAACTTTCCCAGTATCTTAAAATACATTTTTTACCTAACTCTGCCTTTGCAAAATCTTTTTAAATTCAAAAAAAACCAAAAAGGGGTGGTACTTCTGCTGCACAGAATCCTTTTGTGCAAGCACAGTTGCCATCATGCTGGCATTTTTCAATAGCAAATTTTTCACATTAGGCACAGTCATGGAGATAAGAGTATATTTTAGTCTTGCTTTTCCTCAAATTACTTAAATTTTTAATTCAGATTGGCCTGCAGAACCAACACATTCAAAACAGTTACCCTTTTTCTCCCCCAAAAAACACAGCTGTGCAATGAACACAGAGGTTTTAATTAAACTCTTTAATCCAAGATTTTTCTTTTCTATTTCATGCTGTTAAAAAAAGTAATCTTCCAACCTCCATACCACCTGTATTTCCTTGTTTCTATCTATAGTTTGCTATCATCTTCCCACTCCTTGAATATTTTTTTTAATGAATAGTTGTCCTACTCCTCACAATCTTGTTCATTCTTCTCCTATTTCTTTGTCACTGGTTGTCCTTCATCCTGCCATATGCACATTCCTCTGTGACGCCTCTCATCTTTTGTTTTCCTCCTTCTATCTTCCTTTTCCACTGTGTTTCCACACTCTATTCTCCTCCATCTTCTCTCCCTTCCTTCTCATCACTAGTAAAACAGGTTTACTCATTCTTCTGTCATCTAAAGTCCTTCTTCTGTATCTATCCTGTCTCCCAGATCTGCATGAAGGAGGCCTCTGCTGTCTCTGTTGCTTTCTTTCTCACATGCAGGACATATTTTTGAAAAAAACAGAGAAGATCTGATCCTGTCCTGCACTTCTGTCCCCTAAGCAGCCACTGCTGCACAAGACATGACCAGAGAGGAGCTGCCCTGTCTCTGCGGTGAGGAGCCAGCTCATTGCAGGCCAACAGCCAGCTTCCAACTGTCCAAGTGTGAAGTTCCTATGATCACAGATCATCTGGGATGCCTTTCCTCTCAAAACCAGGTGACTCGGAGCCAAATTCTTTAATCTCAAAGGCACTAAAGGCTTGGTAGCTCAGAGTAGCTTTTGGGGAAAGTCACTGTGACAGTATTTCCACTTCAGCATGTCTTGATAAGAAGCCTTAGGAAAAAAAAATAAAAATCAAGTACTGGCAATTACACTTTTTTATTCAACAGGACCTGCCAACCGCTGAACGTGGTTAACTGCAAGCACAGACAATGATAATTTACACTCACTGTCATTCTGGAGGCTAACTTCATTTTCAAAACTGCAAGTATAGGCATGGATAAGCTATGATCAGCACACTTCAACCAGATTCAACACCAGCCAAGCCTTTGTCAGCAGTGGTAACCTTCCAAGCAGAGAGAAGGCAATAATTGGGTCCACAACCATGGCCCAAAGGCTAGCTGAATACCTTGGCACTCCCTAAGCCTCTTCAAAGAGCCCTCTGAATATTAACTAATTAGACTTCTCTTATGTGAAAGAGAATGAACCAAGGCTCGATTTACCTGCCAAGATAACACACCCAGATTTGGCGTAAAGAACAGTTAGCCAAGTATCAAAATTATTGCATTTGGTATTAAAAAAGAGACCTGGTGTTCACAGCTGTAGAGGTAATTCAGACAGACTAAATGTCAGATTTAAATTTAGTTTTTAAGCAAGGCATAACAAAATAGAGTTTGGTAAATTTCTAGAGAGCTGATGGCCAAAACATCAAAGAGCTTCCTGAGGAATATGGTATTGTACTGGGGGGGAGCTTGGCTGACTGGGTCTGGCGAGTACTTGGATTAATCACTCCCTGTCAATATCACTACCTACAGGTATTTCTATGGACACCAGCACAAAATACAGCAGTTCAAAAATATGCCTTATTCTAAACTTAAGGCAATTTATCTGCAAGCATGACAATCCATGTATATCAAATTATATATACAAATCCATGTATATCAAATATGATATATATATGAAGATAAACAGAAGTGTTAGACCAATATTTTGAAGTGAGAACCAAGGTGCCTTAAGTGGAAGACATGTAAAAACCTAACTTCAAGTGCTAGAACACACAGCTTGTGAATAATTATGTTTTCTTGAGCACATATTAAGTATTTCCACTGTTTGGTTATCCACAGTAGAGTTTGAATTAATTGGGGAATCTGATCTGAACACTTTCTAAAATGATTTACAATGTGGCCTCCATACATTCACATGGAGCTTGAAAACCCCAGTCAGGTTTGGTATAGACTAAAACAATCATCCAAATAAACTCTGCACAGTATTTTGTAGAGTATGTTTCAGCTTCAACTCTCCCCATGGCATAGGAAGGGCCGCATAATATTTTAATTATTTTCTTCCACAAGACAGGAAGCTCATTGAGATTTTACAACCAAATATGCTTAGTTGGCTTTTTGCTCAAAACAGCCCTTAGCCTGCAGGTTGCATGTAGTGCTAAAGCAAATAAAGATCACAGAAGTTAGAAGTGCCTATTATGTCAATAAAATCTAAATCCCTGGTAATGCAGTAATTGTTCCATGCAGCATGTTTTCTAACGCTTTGTCTGGTCTTGTTTTAAACAATGGGCTACCATCACTTTTCTCAGACTATTTATGGTCTGGAACAATCCAACAGTTTTTCCTGATCTTTAACCAAAGTTTCCACCTTTTATGCCAGTCCAAAACATAAGAAGCCCTCAAAAAAAAAAAAAAAAAAAAAAAAAAAAGCCTTCTCCATGTCAAGCTTAGCATCTATCTTGTAAAGAATATCAGATAGCCTTTACAAAAAGCTGAATACAAAGTTCACCAATCAACTCATTTTAGACTACAGCGAGTGACAACTCCCTTCTGTTTATCATTTGGGGACATGTCAGAGCCTATGCAGAAAAATGGTTAGACAGGACACACCAGGATCAAGTAAGTTTTAACTCAGGAGAAACACAGTTTCTATCTGCAGAAAGGGAGTCTCCTACCGAGCTTCGTTTGTTGCTATATGCTCATGTGGTAGGACTGGTTTATTTTTTTGTTCTTTCTTCCTTTAGCATACGACCTTTGTGACTGACTTAATATTGTAAATAAAGTGTCAATTCCTAAACCTTGGCTTTGTCAAGGTAAAAAAAAAAAATAGAGAGAGGGTATACGGTGTGAAAGGAACAGGCTCCCTTGCGCAAAGGGTAATTCCAATAAAGAAACCCTTTTAATGTCATCTGAACAGGTGACTAGCCTAACAGCGTCATTACCATCGAGAACCTTGCAAATTAAGCAGGGAAGAGGCCTATTATCTAGGTCACCTAGCCCACCCCTAGCCAAGCTGAATTATTCCCATCTGTTTATCGGGGTTTATTCGGGTAAACCGAATACAGCAAGTTGAGTATCAGGAGAAGGCAGCAGCCCCCCAGCGCTGCCCTCCCCACCGCGGATCCCCGTCACCGACATAACCAACCCGATCCTCTCCACCCTGCGACAATCACATAGTACCGGGGAAATTAAAGAGGGGACACCGGGTTTGGGAGGGGGAGGGATGCCCGCAAACGCCACGGAGCTGGCGAACCGTGCTGTGGAGGGGTTAAAAAAATAATCAATTCAGAATAAATCGGCAATTTGGGCAGCGCACAGGCGGCGGGCGGCTGCTGACAGCGCCCCGCGGGGCGATGCCGCGCGGCGGGGCCGGGCGCGGTGCGGTGTGGCGGGTCCCCCGCGGCCGCGGTACTCACATTCTCGGTGTCGCGCTCGTTCACCGTGGGCAATGGAGTCCGAGTGGACATTTTCCCTCACTCGGGCGGCCGCGGCGGCGGCGCGCACAGACACACACACGGGCCCCGGGCTGCGCGTCTGCTCCGAGATGGTGGTCGCAGGGAGCCACCATGAAGGACGAGGTGCCTGGCGGGGGGCGGCGTCGCGTCGGTGCCCCCCCACTAGATCCTCCTCGGGGAGCGGAGCGGCCTCGCCCCCTCCGAGTCCTTCGGGCTCATCCTACAGCCGGGGTCCGCAGGGGTCAGCAGCGGGCAGGGGGCCGCCTCATCCAGCGGGGAAGGGATGGAGCCGAGGGAAGGGATGGAGCCAGGGAAAGGGAGGCGGCGAGGGAGCGGCTCCGGGAGGGGAGGGGGTGAGCGCAGGGCGGGCGGCAGGAGGCGGCAGCGGGGCGCCGCGCAGCCCGGCTTCTCTCCGCTGCTGCCGGGGCACGGCTAGCGCAGGCCCGCCGCTCGGGGGGCTGCCCTCTCCTTCCCCCGCCGCGGCCCCGCTTCACCGCGCCGCCGCTCGCATCGCGGCCCGCCCCAGGCTCTGAGAAGGCCGGCGCCCCGCGGGCTGCGGACGCTCGGTGGGTGCCCGCCCGCCGCTCCCTCTCTGTCTCTGCCTGCCCCCCGCCCGCCCCGCCGCCGCTCCCGGACGAGGCAAGATGGCCGCGCTGCTCCTCCGCGCCAGCCCAGCGCCGACATGAACCGGAAGGTCCCGCCCCCCGCCCGGCGTGTGCGGGGGCCTCGGGGCCGGGACCGGCCCTGCCCTCCCTGCCGGCCCGCTGTCCTCGGGGGATCGGCCCCTGCCCTCCCGGGGACCGGCCCTGCCCTCCGTGCCGGCCCTGCCCTCTCTGCCGGCCCGCTGTCCTCGGGGGATCGGCCTCTGCCCTCCCGGGGACCGGCCCTGCCCTCCTGCCGGCCCGCTGTCCTCGGGGGATCGGCCTCTGCCCTCCCGGGGACCGGCCCTGCCCTCCCTGCCGGCCCCGCTGCCCTCCGGGGATCGGAGCAGCCCCGGGGCGGCACGGCTTGGAGAAGGGATCGCTTTTGTGAGACCCACCCTGGGGCGCTGCACACAGTTCTGGTGTCCTCAGAACAAGGAGGACATGGAACTGTTGGAGCAAGTCCAGAGGGGACCTTGAAGTCGTTAAGAGAACTGGAGCATTTCCCCTACAAAGATGGAGAAATTTGGGGCTGTTCAGCCTGGAGAAGAGAAGGTGGTGTGGGGAACTCAGCAACCTTCCAGTATCTGAGAGTGTCTGCAGGGGAGCTAGGGAGGGACAGTCCATGAGGAGCTGTAGTGATAGAACAAACAGCACTGGATACAGATTGAAAGAGGGGGAAATTAGATTAGATATTAGCAAGACATTTTTTACCGTGAGGGTGGTGAGGCACCAGAACAGGTTACTCAGAGGAACTGTGGATGCCCCATCCCTGCAAGTATTGAAGCCCAGCCTGGATAGGGCTTTGAGCATCCTGGTCTGGTGGGGGATGTTGGCACTGGGTTCTTCCAACCTCTTAGAAGTCTCTGATTCTGATTCTGTAAAGAGGCCCTCAGGGAGCTGTGATCCCCCTGGCGCAGGAGGAGAAGTGGGGTGGGGAGCTCAGGTTTTGGGAAGCACTGTGGGGCAGAGGGAATGATGCCACAGAGTGGCTGGAGAAATGGCAGATCTCTGTACAGAGCCAGCCCTCGGCTGAGGAAGGGGACAGACCCCACTGCCCACTCACAGGGGAAGGGACACAGGCAAGCGTAGTCCAGGAATGGTCATCTGTGTTCAGGGTTCTGTCCTTGGGCCATCTGCCAAAGCATGTCCTTCCTTTTCTTGGTCTTTCCCAGCCCAGAGGATGGTGTGTGTTACAGAAGGGAGCTCACACCTGGCAGGGGTCTGAGGCTGCTGTTGGCAGATCTCACCTGGTGCCATCAGACACCCATACAGTGTTACAGCACTGCATTTTCATACCAGCTTGGTGCTTGGCTCATTTGTTGAAGGAGGGTGGAAGCCTGGGCTATCAAAACATTCTTTGTGTATCCAGTAGTTTCTCTGCATTATCCTTTTTAAGTCTATGAAGATCTTGGTATAGTCATAAGTAGATCTAATTGTGAATGAAAAACAAGAAAGAGAACAAACTTCTGTATATTCAGTATATAGGTGGTTTGAAACCAAACTTATTTCTTTTTGGTTTGGTTTTTTTTTTTTTAACAGAAAAAATATGATCTTCTGTAGAAAAAAAAATGTTGGGTCTGGTGGGATTTGTAGAAACTTGGCATATCTGTGGATCTGGCAGCCTAGCAGTAACATTTTGTCTTTCTAAAGTGGAAAGACTAAACTAGACTTCTAAACTTTATGGCTCTCATAAATATTTGCCAGCTCAGCCCTGAAATCCATCCTATGATGTAGGTGATATTTCCCTTGCTTTTAGAGACATGAACAAGGAAAGATGGTCTTTGAATGCTACCCAGTAAAGTTGTACGTCTGTTACTTCATCATCAGGACTACAAAGCACTCCACAACATCGAACCTGCAGATTTTCCTTCTGAACTCTTGTCGTTAAGCTGATGTCTTGCTCTGTGTCAATGACAGGAATTTTGGATTTCAGGACTCACCCCTTGTGCAAATGTTTGTATTTCTGTGTGTACATGCACATCCATGTGTGTCTTTGCTCAGACAATACATGCTCATAGCAAAGCCACTCTCCCTGGGAAGCAGGCAGGACCCCTTGCGCAGAGCAGGGAGTGGGATTTGTCTATATCTGACTTGTCAAGGTCAGTCACGAAGCCTAAAGCAAAGCCAGGAAAAGTGTCCAGATCTCCTGACTCTGCTTTTGCCACTGGGCTGCTGCTTCATCTTTTTCTTTTTGGTTGCCAGTAGAATATGTTCTTTACAATGTGTTTGTAAAAAATTGTAATTGAGTGATGACAGAGTCAGAAAAAGAGCAAAAATTGGGCAGAGGTTTCTTTGGGTTGTTACCCAGCCTAGAGCTCTCACCCTGCACTCGTGGGCACTCCAGCCAGCATGGGAAGGCTGAGCTGCCCACGTTGGAGCGATTGGCACAGTGTGGGAAGGACACGTAATGCTGTTTGCACCTAGGAGTGTGCCTGTCCTGATCTGTGGAAGTTCTGTGCACGGGCATGAAGAGACATTACACGTAGCCTTGTGTTTTACATACTTGCATTTCTGCTCTGTGGCAGCAGTAGTCACTGATAAAATCTGAGCTGTATGATGGTGGATAGTCAGATGGAATTCCTGGGCCTGTTGATACACTAGGAGTTCCACTACTGCCTTTGATAAAGCCTACATTTAATACCTGCAGTATTCCACATTTAAAGGGGCTGGGGAAAGGACACAGGGAGCAGGGGAGCTGTGGGGGATGACTGTGTCTTTCAGAGTCATGTTTTTGATTGGCAAAGGGATTTTGAAGTAAGAACTTCTGAAGAAGTGCTTAAGACCACAAAAATAACAGTAGCTGATTTTGCTATTTTATTGCCATTAAATGACAACATTGATTAGAGCTGGTTTTACTGTGTAGCAAAACTTGCACACGGAATGACAAACTGCATAGCAGGTGCTTTCTTCTGCATTTCCTTGTTGCTATATTCTGCTTCTCCCATTTAAACAGATAAGTTAATTTCAAAATGTATTCATGTTCTTCTTAGAAATTGGGCCATAGAGAAAAGCTGATTGTATTGATTTTGTCTTTCTTTGTTGTCCGTAAATATTCTGTGTATTATCAGCTACTGCTTAAACCACATTCACAAATCACAAGGTGATTTATTTTCCTGTATAAAGGTTTTGAAAACTCAGAAAGCAGCCTGATAATCCTATCATGCTTTCTGGTTCTTGTGCTATCACTAGTAATAGTGGCAGTGATTTTGTAAGGGGGACTTCGATGATAATGTTTCTATCTTACCAGAATAAGCTGCAATTTGTGTTTTGAGCTGTACTGGCTACAGTGCTGGCAGCTATAAAAACTTTTGGCAGTAGAGCTGGAGAATATGACTCAAAAACATACAGGAAGCAGATTATGCCAGTTAAGGTAACTCTTTTATGTCACTCATTTGGCTGCCACCACACAGAAAAAAACAATAAGATACAGAATGACATCACTGTGGTGAAGAATTTAGAATTTTTTTCTTCTGGACATTAAAAGCCACACTAAGAACCTCTTAACACTGCACTGCACAGAGTAGACTCCAACAGCATTTGCAGTCAGAGCAAAAAATGTTGGACTTGATTACAATTGCTGGGCAAAACATAAGGATTAAGTTTAATGTATTCATATGCACAGGTTTTTGAGTCTTAATTCTGGAAGAAGGATTACAAATGCAGAACTGACTGAGGAATTTGTATTCTACTCACCATTCTTTAAAGGCTGGGGACTGAAAGACATCAGTTGGTAGAGACAAGTAGAGAATCAGCTAATGTAATTGTTATAGGTGCTCTGTTGTGTTCTGAAGCTATGATGGTGCTTTCTAGCTGGAAACCTGCCCAGGTATTAAATCATTTAGTTTGTACAAAAATTCCAGTTTAGATTGATAGTCATTAACCCTGATGAAAATTTTTTGGTATTTTTCCTTAAACCTTTGAAAAACACATTTTAAAATATGTTACATCCACTGGGATATAGATAATATTATTAATTCTTATTCCAATGCCTTTTTTCTTTTTCTTGTAGAAATTCTAAAGTAATTCCATGCAGTGAAAGATTTCCAGGACTGTTTTATCATTAGTGTTGTCTTTAGAAATGAAGTCATTCCTTGCATTTGAAATCAATATTTGTATTTGGTTTTAAAATCTTCCAGACAATACATAATCTTAACAGTGTTTTATGGTAGGAAGAAGCATGTGATTTTTAAATGTCAGTGACAAAGCTATTGATAGAAAAGGACTGATTACTGTCTGCAACCTGAATCAATAGTCCATGCTCAGTTATGATGAGGCCCAAGTGCAACCTGCTGCAATGCCAGAGCAAAATGTGGTGTTGGCAGCAGAGAGAACACTGGAAAGGGAAAAGGTCTTCCTTCTGAGCTTCATGTCAAGCAGAGACTGAGATCTGAGAGGTGGGAGAAGATTTTGCGTGTGTTAGCTTCTCCCTTTGGTCCATACAAGTGCCTGGGAATAGCAGAGTGGCCGTGGCGCTGTGGCTGCTCTGCATTGCTCAGGTGAGGAGAGGTTCAGGGGCTGGGCTGCAGCCGTGGGCAAACAGGAGCAAACAGTGCTGGTTCCTGAGCTGCACGCCTCATTTCATTCCCTTCCTGTAGCGCCGGGCATGCTGTGCTTTCCTGCAGAGCCATGCAGTGTGGTGCATGACACGTGAACCTTCCTGGTGGGATCACTATCAAGTGCCTGAACCACACTGATTCCAGTGCCATTTGACACAAATGCCTGCATGGATCATGGCTCCAGGACAGAATCACAGTGCTGTGGAGAGCTGGCAAGAGCACTGCTCTCATGGCTTGGCACAAGGTCACTGCTTAGAGCAGCAAAGGATTGGAAATACCTCCTTGGCTTTCCGTGACCCTGATACCACATGGGTTAAGAAGGCAACACAAAGGACAAGTAGCCCACTGGTGGTGATGCTAGCTCTGAATTTGACTCTGTATGTTTGAAGCTAAAATAGGTGTTTTATAGCAAGCCTCTTCCATTCTTAGCACATGACCCCACCAAAGCAACGTCCTAGATGCTTTGCCACCTAAGTCAGGCATGTTACTGTGC